GAGGGGGATGGGCGGCTGGTGGTGGTGGTGGCGCTGCTGCTGCTGGTGCTGCTGCCGCCGCCGCCGCCGCCCAGGACACCCGGCCAGACATCTGCTTTCTGCCCCTGGGTGGAGCTGTTTAAATAGTCTCTGACAGGTCACTGTGGGGCCACCCAGTCCCATTCTGGTCTTGTTGAATTCTCATTGGCCTAGGACTAGACCTCACGGGCGAGTCCCGGACGAGTGGAAAAACTGTCTCCATACATGTGCACTTTTGGGGAACACACCAGTGCTCCGCTCTCACCCGATAAGCGGGTGACCGCCTGCATATCCTTCTGAGGACTAAGTAAAGCTCAGCCATGTAGGGTATGCCTGAGACAGAGGGCCTGCTTCTAAGGTCTCGGGTGCAGCCCCGTTCATGGCACCTGACAGGGCCGTGCTGCTACTCAGCTGTGGGTTCACAGCCCCCTCCTCCGCAGCCCTGAGCCCCGAGCACCTCACAAATCTGTATGTCCCACTCTCGCTGGGTCTAAGCCTTCTATCATTTCCTATTGTTTCAAATATGAATTCGGGGTGCCTGGGTGGTCTGGGGGTCCTGGGATCGAGCCCCGCAACAGGCTTCCTGCTGCGTGGGGAGTCTGCTTCTCCCTGTCCCTCTGCTCCCCACCCTCCCATTCTCTCTCTCAAAAAAAATCTCAAGTATGAATTCATAAAACACTTTATATGCTTTCATATTGTTAAAAGCATATAAGCTTCTCACTATTCTGAGGTAAATAATACAGGTAATAGTCATTCCGTTTTAAGAATCAGAAAAGCAAGGCTCAATGAGCTAGACCACTCCCAGGTCCCACAGCTGGGGCTTGGGTGACTCTCACTAGTAGTCAGGGCAGGGCGGGGACAGCTTTCTACTTTCCTTTAATCCTCCCCAGCACTTGGTCTGGTTCTGGAAACATAAAAGTTCTTCAAGGGTTCTTTTCTGAGAGGCCGAAGACCTCCTGTAATGAAGTCAAGGCTTCTGCCTTGGCCATCTGTACTGACCTAATGATTCCACTGGAGCCCTCAGCTCCACCCCTCACCCCACCACCTCCTAATATCCAGAATAATCAGTGGGTCAAAAGCTTGCACTCTGCAGTAAAGTATTTCCAGGGGTATCCTCCCCCCCCTTCTGCCATATGTCTGCTTCTCCCTTACCCTCTGCTCCCCGCCCTCCCATTCTCTCTCTCAAAAAAAATCTCAAATATGAATTCATAAAACACTTCATATGCTCTCATATTGTTAAAAGCACATAGGTCACTTCAAGAAAGACTCCATATTCTCAACTGATGATACTACGTACTCCTTAACACTGACCTGAAGATTAAAACTAGGTAAGTGCCTGGGGCATAAACACTCAATAGCTCAGTATCTTTCGGAGTGTTTGGTGGGGGGTGAGGGGTGAGGTGGTAGAAGAGGGGAGCAAAGGACATTCGACATTATTAAACTGTTTGCTAAACCTGTCAACATCATCACCAACTGAGCAGGAAGAGTCATGTAATTTTACAGGAATTTGGGGTACGCACAGATTTTGGCACAAAGATTTATTCTAGTATTATCTAAAACGGCAAAAGTAAAGTAAAAAAACCCAACCCAACCCAAAACCATTAACCCAAGTGTTCAGATCGCTAGAAGGCAGAGAAACGTTAAATAAAGCATGGCACAGCCATGTGGTAAAGTGTCCTGCAGTCATTAAGTTGTATCTTGAAGAATTGTGAAGACATGCATTTTTGAAGGGGGGGGGATTATTTTTTTGTGGGGGTGTGAAAAATATCTTACATATTACAATGATTTGTGGCCTCCAGAGGCACAGAACATAAAAAAATAGACAGTATATCTGTAGTATTAAATTTTCCCAGTGGGGAGTATGGGGGTGGAGTGATTAGGACAAAACTGTCTAAGAAGAGTCCTCAGGAATGACAGTGGGAAAAAGGCTGGCAAACACTGGATTAAGGAGATGGTCACAGTATACATTAGGTTATGGAATACACAGAATGCCCAGTGCCAAACTGTCCAAGATACATTTCACTTTTTTAAAAGCTTAAGTAATCTCTACACCCAACATGGGGCTTGAACTCACGACTCTGAGATCGAGAGCTGCCTGCTCTTCCAGCTGAGCCAGCCAGTTCAAACTGGTAAGTGAAACTATTTCTGGCTGGTGGGATTCCATATACTTTTTTTTTTTTTTTTTTTAAGATTTTATTCATTTATGTGACCGAGAGATCACAAGTAGGCAGAGAGGCAGGCAGAGAGAGGGGGAAGCAGGCTCCCCGCTGAGCAGAGAGCCCGATGCGGGGCTCGATCCCAGGACCCTGAGATCATGACCCGAGCCGAAGGCAGAGGCTTTAACCCACTGAGCCACCCAGGCGCCCCCCATATACTTTTACAAAAAATAGATTTCACATTTTCGTCAGTTTTGCTTGTTTGTTGTGTGTGTGTGTGGGGGGGCCTCCCTGCTCAGTGGGGAGTCTGCTTGTCCCTCTGCTCTTCCCCCTCCTCACACTCTCTCTCAAATAAAAATCTTTTAAAAAATTGTTAGGATTATACAAAACTATTTTTTAAATTGTATTTTGGTATTTAATGAGGGGATTTTGCATAGAAATACTATTTTCTCTTCAGCCATTCTCCAAATTAAAGGTCCAGGAATACACAGGTGGGACCACGTTAATATTTCTGTAGTTATCTGCCTCAACACGTGCAAGTACGCTGGATTACAAGAGATTAAGAAGTGAGTCCGATGACATTATGGTGTGGCTTTCCTTCCATTCCTGTTCCTAGAGAAAGCAGTCGGCCTCAAAGGAGAAATGTGGCCTTGTGTGCCTGGTGGGTGATACACTTCAGGATTCTGATTCAAACCCCAAAGTAAAAGAAACAATCCAGTTTTGAAGTTTTCTTCAAAAAGGAAATCCTTTCATTGGAGGGTATCAGTAGTCTTTTACTTCACTGGGGTTCCAGCAAGTCTCTTACACGTATCTCCAGTTCTGCCTTCATTCTTGACACATTCATGATTTTTTTTTTTTTTTAATTCATTTGAGAGAGAGACAGAGAGAGCACAAGCAGGGGGAGAGGCAGAGGGAGAGGGAGAAGTAGACTCCCCTCTGAGCAGAGAGCCCAATGCGGGACTCGATCCCATGACCTGAGATCATGACCTCAGCCAAAGGCAGACATTTAACAGACTAAGCTACCCAGGCACTTCATATTCATAAAATCTTAAAACGTACCAGCACACAAAGCTGGCTGCTCACTTTCAAAAACATGTTATCATTTCATTTAATCAAGGCTGCAAGCTGTGACTTTGAGAAAAGCAAAGAGAGAAGTGGAAAAAAAAAACTTTCCCAAGTCAGTAAAATTTCTCTTTCCTTAGAAAACATGCTCACTTTTTGTGTCTTTATCCATTACTCAATTTATATAAAAATCAATTCTTTGGGAAAGACTATGTTGTAAAATTTTAATTCAGAAAAATTATTCAAAATCTTAGGCCTTAATTTTACGATTACTAATTTTAAAAAATCCAACCATTTCAGTGCTAGGCTACTGACGACAAGACAGAGCTAGAAGAGCGAGCCTTCCCCTCCCTCAAAATAAGACGACTATGCATTACACCGTGACAACAGTAATGCAAAATCATGCCATCGACAGGGCCAAGGTGACTCTCAGACTGGCCTTCCTGTCACACTAGGGATTATTAGATTTGTGGCAGCACGTTGAAGGGGGCACAATGCTGTGTCCCCATAGCACATTATTACGGACAAGGATCGTAGAGCTAAGAACTGTTAATGTCAATAGAAAACCAAAGCCTTGTCCTGTAAGAAGAGAATTTTAGCAATTTCTTACCTGCCATCTGACAAGTTCTTCCTAACTTCCCTTAGCACCCTTCAGTAGGTTCCTAACCTGGACCCTGATGCTGTCCCTGCATACAAGCTGCAAAAAGAAGACGACAAGGCTGCTAGTGTCTTTCCTCTGGTTATTAATGTAATGAGCTCCATTAACCTCTCCTTGACAATGTGTTCAAAGGCTGGATGTGAAGCCAGAAGGAAGAGGACACAGACGGCTGTACTTCGTGAAACCAGGAACTGGCCTCTCTTCACCATATTTAATTTCTGACTTTTTCAGCTGTCAGAGCAAGTTGTTTAGTGAGCATTCAACTGGGCCAGAATCTGAATATGCCAGCACCTCCCTATCCAATCTCTAGTCTTTATTTAAAGCTGATTAAAAGCTGAGTGATGACACTGGTCAGAACAATGAAGCTTTGGGAATCACTACTTTTCAGGAAATCAGATGCCATATTAAGAAAACCTATAATGGCTTCTAGCATAACACACGCTTTATATTCGTTAGACTGTGGTAAAGCTGGAATTCAGTGTAAATCACTTTGAAAATACACGAAGCTAAAGGAATCTCCATACTGGAAGACTGTAACTAACACTAATACTATAAACTTATTACATGGTAACTTATAGATAGGCTAGAAAACACTTAAGGGTCTTGTTCCTCTCATTAATACTCAATTATTTATGTAGAAATATTTAATATTTTCCCAATGAACTAATCCGTTCTCAAGCTCACATGAATTACTCCTTGTTTAGTCTTTCAGTCCTACACCAAGTCAGCAAATCTGACATCTACCTTACTACATATTGCTCACTAGCCCCAATCAAAACAGATATCAATACTCCAAATCTCTTCAGTGCAGAGTCACAGCCATTTCAGAGACAATCCGTGCGCTCTGGTCATGTTTAGAGACAGAAACTGAGGCCGAGAAGTGCTTTGTGCATACAAGTACCCAGAACCAGAGTAAGAATTCCAGAACTCCCAACAGATAAGAAGAGAAAGGAAGGGTAGCAAGCACGGAAATAACAAGTGCTACATTTTAGGTGGAAAAAGGAGGAGAGAAAATATCTTGTAACAAAAAAACCAAAACTACAGTCAGCCTTACAACTGTTTTGTAGCAGCTTTCAAATAAAGCATACAAAATTTAGCAATACGTGTTATAAAACTGTACAAATTTTTAGATGTTTAAGGCCTAAGATTTTTATAAGGACATGCTTCCACACATTTTCAGGAACAGTGACCATTTTTTAAAAAAGTTATATTTGCCCCATAACATAATATTCATAGTTTGCTTTCAAAACAAACTCAAAGTAAGGATTAGACTTCAGGCTTCCGAGCTGGTCTGCTTGCAGGAGGTCTCTCACCTCTGGCAGGTACTCACTGAGCTGAATGCCTATAAACACAAACACAGAAAGTCCTTCTTAATTTTCATAAAACTCCCAAATGAATGAAGATGATTAATGATAACACCTGTGCTTCTATTTAAAATATAATGTCACTCCACTACTGGGAAATACTCTGCTCTAAATTCCTTCCACTGTCAAACATGCTTGTAGGTCTACAGCATGACATTCTTACTTTGAAGAGGCTGCTGGAGTATTTTTTCCCCCTAGTGGTCAAAACGCCAATCTGATCAAAGTTTTTAGTAAGACTTGAAATACTTTCATTTTCTACACAGCTTAAGTCATTTCTTCAATGTGGAAGTTTTTAACTAATAATCACCTGAAAACAAGTATTTCAAACAATTACATATTCCAACTATTATATATTAATTTCAAACAAATATATAATATCTAATTATATATTCAAGTACTTCAACAATTATATATATTAAATATATATCCAATTACATACAGGGAAATAATTTAGTAGTATAGTATTATGAAAGCTAGCTCCAGTGTCTCAAAATATATTATAGTCTGAAATGAGATAGGTGAAGAATTATTTATTCATTAGACCTCTGTAAAGCTGGAAAGCCAATGAGCACTGATGAATTGGAACTGTTGGAATTAGGAGCTGTGTAGTTACAAAAAGGTTTCTACAATTTTCTCATTTGATAAAGAAAATGGGAAAAATTTTTCAATTAATAATACAATATTTTATAATTTGTCATATTATCATAAGGTTCTCAAAATCAAATACTGAGGCTTTTTTCCCAATACTCTCAAAGTGCCTAGTACTATTTTTTGTACTTTATTATATAATTAAAAACTGGGTTAATAAATGTTTTGAGGCTAAATTTGAAATATTTATAGATCATTTACTACAATTAAAATACTTTCAATAAGGAGTTTTTATCTGTCAAACAGCATTACACTTCTGAAAATATATTGATTTTAAAAGATCAATTCTCTAAAAAAATTTAACATCGTATTTGGCTTCTATTTTTACCGTGCATGCCCTCTGTTTAAAACTAATATTTGGGGCGCCTGGGTGGCTCAGTGGGTTAAAGCCTCTGCCTTCGGCTCAGGTCATGATCCCAGGGTCTTGGGATGGAGCCCCACATCTGGCTCTCTGCTCAGCAGGGAGCCTGCTTCCCTTCCTCTCTCTCTGCCTGCCTCTCTGCCTACTTGTGATCTCTGCCTGTCAAATAAATAAATAAATAAATCTTTAAAAAAAAAAAAAAAAAAAAAGAACTAATATTTGATGGATTTCTTTTTCTCCCTACCATCAGGCTCTGTCCTCCTTTAAAAACATTCACTATCGGGGCGCCTGGGTGGCTCAGTGGGTTAAGCCTCTGCCTTCGGCTCAGGTCATGATCCCAGGGTGCTGGGATCGAGCCCTGCATCGGGCTCTCTGATCAGCGGGGAGCCTGCTTCCTCTTCTCTCTCTGCCTGCCTCTCTGCCTACTTGTGATCTCTCTCTCTGTCCAATAAATAAAAATAAAATCTTTAAAAAAAATAAATAAATAAAAATAAATAAATAAAAACATTCACTATCGTACATAGTAGCTGTATTATTAAAAAGGTTCCAAAAATAACTGTCTTTAACTTCTTGTTATAAGTATATATACCTTTTCCTTGTATACATATGTTCATTTTTCTAATAGTTTCTACTTGCTTTTGTTCTTTGGTCATAATTTAATAATTCTTCCTGTAAAATCACAACTTTCCATTCCTATTGTTCATCTATGATTTATAATCTAAGAATAATAAAAATAGCAAAGTCACCTCTAAATAGCACTAAACATTAAATAGCCACAATTTAATTCTGTTGCACTTTTATGAGAACAATCTTCAAGGAAAGCACTGGATTTGGGTCCAAATGCTTTCTAATAATCTATTAGGCTCATGGAAAATCTCTCCAGTAGTACAGAGAAATCAACCATACCCAGTTATTTCATTTCCAAATACAGAAAAGAGAAAGTCTTAGAGGGGCATTTTAGCTCTTTCTGAATTTCAGGTATTTCAAATACTTTCAAACAAATCAGGTTCTTCTGTTATACCCCTTCGTTATTTCATTTTTAATTATTTTATTTATTTTGTGACAACGAAAAGGCTTAATTAACCTTTATGTTATTTGCTCATCTTTGAAAAAGAATGCACTATTAAATCGGTCATGACAGGATGACCAAGTATTACTTTTTCAAAATACAAGTCCAGATCAATTCTGAGCAAGTTCCAAGTAATCTAGTCATGGAATTATATTTTCACTGAATTACTTACAAAAGGAGACTAAAAATCTGAAGAGTAACACTAAGAGACCATCGCAGCTGGGCTGGAAAACAAAAGCTTCCGCCATGTAAATGCTGAGAGTTTGCTTCTGTTTCACCCCAGAATACTGGTCTGTGTGGTTAGTTTCACGCTGTTTTTCTAAGGGTCCCCCCCTTCATGTCCCCTGGTTAAGCCAGCCATTTTAAAATAGAAGACTGCAGAATACAACCCATTACAGAGGAGCTGGGGCTATGAATCTGCAAAATACTTGAAGGCATCCAAAGGACAAATGTCTATTGAGTGACTACTATGTACCAGGCACTGGGTTCGTCATATTTGATGTAGATTAAATAATGTATCTTGCATACATATGTATAGAAAACTTTCAAATGTGTGTAAATGTCAGTATGATGGATAAAAGTCCTATCTATCTAAAGGGATTGAATTTACAATAACTTACCACTGTGTATTTTTTCCATTTGGTATAAAACAGAGTACCCTTATATTTGCAAGGATTGGTAAATACTAAGTCTATTTTGCACGTTGCTTGAATTTAATATGACACATTTTGATAGAAATTTCTATAATAAATATGAGCCGCACATGTATAAAATGTGCAAAACGCTCATCTCTAGTCTAACACCCTCCATACATTAAGCTCCCAGTAATATGAAAAAAGGTGAAAGTAAATACAGTTGAACCTTAAACAACCCAGGTTTGGATGGCATGGGTCTACTTACCTGCGAATTTTTTTGATAGAGTACTGTATTTTCTCAATAACAATTTATTTTCTCTAATTTATCTTATTATAAGAATATAGTATATAATACACATGCAAAGTATGTGTTAACCAAAAGTTTATGTTATTGGTAAGGTTTCTGATCAACAGCAGGCTAACAGTAGTAAAGTTTTTAGGAAGCCAAAAGATGTATGTGGATTTTCAACCGTACTGGGGGTCACTGCCTCTCATCCACACATTGTTCAAGGGTCAACTGTATCCCCTACTTCATATTCCCCCTGAGAACAGCATTTTACCTACAAAAGCTTCTTTACCTAATTTATTGTGTCTCAATCAGCAAATGGAATTTTGTTCACTATATTAGGTACAAAACATGCAAAACATACCCCCTTCTTTTTCTTTTTATATTGTTCCTAACATGAATTTTAGAGTGTTAGTGTCCAAAATGGACGTGTAAAAGCATTTTGTAAATTGTACTTTAGTACGGTCCATTATATATCAAAAAGTTATTTGTCATTTATATATCATTTCAAGTTTTCAATCTTCACAAGAGTTAACCAAAAAATTAAAGGAAAATGGTTACTTCTGTCATACAGAGTTTTGGTGTCACAACATCTGAATCCATTCCTTGTCCATCCTGAATCAGCATGGAGACTTTGCCCACTGGGGTCCACCAGGACCCATGTGGATGGAGACTTCACCTTGACACGTGCTCCCCCAATTGGGAGAGGAAAGAAACATTTTAAACAAATCTAATTCTGAGTATGATACTATTTAATCTTAAACCGCCCTGGCACTGACACCTTGGAAAATCCCCGTTATTTTCAGATTTCTGAAACTGAGAAGTGATGCTATAACTTCCAATATTAACAAATGACTTACCATCTTTTAAAAGTTTCTGTAAGATTTTCACAAATATACTGTCTTTAGATACTTCAATTGGATCATCCTTACCATCTGAACTGGACCAGCTAGAAAACAAAATTGCAGTAAGAAAAAGAAATCGTAGACATATCTGAAATAAATGACTTCTGTTTGCTACTGTAGTTTTATTTTGCTGGTTGTACCAGGGGTGGAGAATCTTGAGTTCTGTAATACTGTTTCAAAGTATTTAAATAAGGGAGGTTTGAATGTTGAATATACTTAGAGTCCCAATATCAGATACAAAATGCTACACTCAGGTAGCTATTCACCCAACACAACCGTATGTATTTCATGTTAAAACAAAGTAGCAAGCCATCTTTCCCCCCATATTCTATAAATAAATAACAAACCTAGTAAGGACTCCCAAGTACAATCTTCAGACCATAGGTAACAGTTACAATATATTGTAACATACTCTGATTTTCATAAAAATAAAATGGTAACCAGGGTCTAGTATAATGTTTTATCTAGTTGAGATTACTGCACACACACACACACACACACACACACACACACACAAAACCACTGCTTTGTAGTAATCCATGAATATATTCCACAATACCTTAAAGTTTTTTAAAAATTTTATTTGAGAGAGAGACAGGAAGCGAGCATGGCGATGAGGGGCAGTGGGAGGCGGGGAGCCTGACATGAGGACCCAGAACCCAGAAATCATGACATGAGCCAAAGGCAGATGCTTAACTGAATGAGCCACCCAGGTGCCCCAATACCTTAAGGGTTTTTTTTTTTTTTTTTTTTAAGATTTTATTTATTTATTTGACAGAGAGAGAGATCACAAGTAGGCAGAGAGGCAGGCAGAGAGAGAGGGGGAAGCAGGCTCCCTGCTGAGCAGAAAGCCCGATGTGGGGCTCAATCCCAGGACACTGCGATCATGACCTGAGCCGAAGACAGCGGCTTAATCCACTGAGCCACCCAGGCACCCAACACCTTAAAGTTTATAAACGTGAAGCCATGATAAAGAATTCCAATCAAATGACAGCATACTTTTTTTAAGATTAGAAAGGAGAATGAAGCAGGCAGAGGGAGATCTTCAGAAAGTGACCTCCAAGACCAAATAGAACAACAATTTTAACTATTTGGGAGTGATCAGAAGAAGAAATGCTTTAGTAAAAATAGTCCTACTGCAATTTCTCAGCACCATATAAAAAGGAAAATTTTAAGTAGGGAAGGGTGTTAGCACTCAAGTCAAGTTCTCTTAAATTCTTTTCCTAGAAACAATTCAATCCCCCAACTGATTATTCTTTCTTTCACTGCCACCGCCTTTCTTTGCCACCATTTCCCATGGAAATCTCCCTTCTCAGGAAGGAGATAATCACAAAAAAGAGGTCTCAGTAATTTACAAGAGAGTACCGATACTCTAATGTACTTTTTGTTTAAAACAAAATGCAGCTTCTTTGGCAGAACTGGCCCAACTTCTGTGAAAATCAGGAACATATATATTTCTGTGCAAACTGACAGTCTAAATTTTAAAATCAAAAGTAGAGGGGCATTTAGGTGTCTTGGTTAAGTGTCCGACTCAGGTCATGATCTTGGGGTCATGGGATTGAGCTCCACACTGGGTTCTGCACTGGGCATCCAGCCTTCTTGAGATTCTCTTTCTCCCCCTCTCCCTCTGCACCCCACCCCCACTCTCCCACTCAAATAAATAAAATCAAAATAGAGATTTATTATACCAGTGGTCCTAAGTCCTTAAACTCTTCCTTAACTACTGAATGAGAAACTTAGACTACTAATGCACACAATAAAATTTTTATAATTATGTTATTATATAATTAGGTTATAAAACCATTTGATACATGATACATTATCTTCCTCAAGAGTCCTTTTCTAGGGGTGTCTGGGTGGCTCAGTGGGTTAAAGCCTTTGCTTTCAGCTCAGGTCGTAATCTCAGGGTCGTGGGATTGAGCCCACATCAGCCTCCCTACTCAGGGAGCCTGCTTCCTCCTCTCTCTCTGGCTGCCTCTCTGCCTACTTGTGATCTCTGTCTGTCAAGTAAATTAAAAAAAAAAAAAAAAAAATAGAGTCCTTTTCTAAAACCATAGCTTAGATTCATGTTATGAGAACTTACTTATCTCTCTGAAGAGCTTTGCAAAGGATTTCCAGTTTTAGATCATTTATATTTACATCTTCCTCCTTTATCGTAAAACAAAAAAAATCCTCATTAAGTCCTGATTTAAAAAAATATACATGTTTAAATTTGAGTTAATTAATTCTGCATAAATGATTTAATTTAATTCATAATTTTAAAAGATTTCCTTTAAGATATTAATACCCAGAAGAGTAAGCCAATTAGTAACTACGTGAGAATTAGTTTCTGATTATTCTGTGATAATCTGATTTTATCAGGAAGCTTGAAGGGCTAAGATTTGAAACAAGGTAAATAAAAGCCAATACACTACATTTTAAAAATCTACCAAACTGCTTCCAATTGCAGGGCCAACTATTTAATCTACAGAATTGTTATCATAACCGCCCCCTCTCCCCCAAAGAAACAGCTCCTCTTAGGGTGAACACTATGAAGAATAAATCGATAAAGCAATGTATCAGACTGAGGAACTAATGATGATTTAATAATGAAAGAGAAAAAATGCCTCAGGACTCTGAAAAACTGTGTTTTTATTCATGCACAGAAAAAGACATCTGGGAATGTGTGAGAATTATCAGGAAAGGGAATCTCCTGACAGCTTTTCTAAAGAGCTATACACATTCCAAGAGTTAGGAATAGCTGAACCAGAGAGTCTTTCTAAATTAATACATTGTCATGATTGGCTAAAAGATGTATTTTTTTCTCTTTTTGTATGTATTCAGTTCTACAGAAAACCAAATATATAAATTGTGATCCTTGCCTGTGATCATCTCAAGTGATTTTACTTACCTCATCAATATATTCCAGCAGGTCCAAAGCTTTCTTGAAATCATATTCATTAGCTCTTCTGTTTTCTTCACAGATATACAGCTATGGCAAGTTCAAAAAAGGTTCAGCATTATTTTAAGTAATCATATAACCAAGACTAGAGAAATTTATGGAGAAAAATACATCATTCTGTCTTTCAAGTAAGTCAAAGGTATCTTTATTTTATCATAAGAAAACTATCATCTTTGGAAATTACACTCCACCTATCCTCTAATAAATTGTCCTTCAAAATGTGCCTATGCTCAACAGTAATTAATTTGCAAATCTTGATATATATACTTCTAAAATATCAGTAAATTTTATTTTTAGGTTCCAGATAGTATACATAGTTCAGTATCCTTTCGAGCATTTTCTTTGCAATATGCTACATAAGGAGAGGCCATTGTGAGCTCAATTATAGGAAATCTGTTACTAGTAATGGCTAAAATACTGACGTTTTTGGATTATTTTCTTTTCAATAAAATTAGAGCAAATTCAAAGTGATCTACGTTGTTCTTGTATTTGAAACACTTTCTTGAAAGGCAAAGAGAGAAGCAGAGTTAAGGCTACGAGTGTATCTAACAACAAAAGTATCTTACCCAGGCTGCAGCCCACAATCTAGCTATGCCCTTAGGAATGTGTTATGTTCCAGAGGAAAAGGGTGAGGTCAGTACTTATAGGCTATGAAAATCCAGTTCCTTAAACCATTTTTCTTGTGGAAGAACCTGAGCTGTACCTCGTGGTACATATTTGTCCTCTGCTGGAAAAGGAAGTACAAGTACTTTCTTCTGGTCACCTGCATGAGCATCTCTAGGAACAGGTGGAGATGGACAGGGAGGCAGAGGCTGGTCCAGTACTTCCTGCTAACGTGCATCCTGATCTCCAGCAGCTTCTAACAACTTATTCTAGGGCAAGCGGAAAGTTACCAGAAAAATAGGAAGTGGGAAGATGACCACCCGTACAAACTATACCACCTGACTCTAGAAATAGCGATGTTGTTTTGAGACTAAGGAATGGTGCAAAGATGGAAAAGCACGCACGCTGATGAGCTGAGGGGCAGTGAGCACCGGCATCGCACTGAGACTGAGCTGTTTCTCCGCCAGCAGCTGTTCAGGCAGGGTCTCCTGGTGCAGTAGAAAGCGCTCCTGCTCAGCCATTTCTAGAATTCAGAATGAGAGGCGGGGAGGGCAGTAAACTCTTCTGCTCTATCATAAAACAAATCTGAATTAAAAAAAAAAAAAAGGCAGAGCATCTCTAAAGGTAATCTCATCACTACTTTGTGATCTTAAAATGTTATTAATTCTGCTACCTCTTGATTTCTGATGTTAAAACATATTCATGGCTTGATTCAAATCATAGCAACAATCAGTCGCCAGAAACAGGCGGGGAGAGAAGAGCTATGAAAATACACGCTACTGCTTGAAGGAATTATAGAGCAGATGGCTATTTCATGAGGCACAAGTGCCTCAAATCGGGGGTCACCCAGTCCCATGTTATTTAGCTCAGTAACTCCCACCAGAGTTTCTAATATACTCTTTCACCGAGGGAAATGATCTATTTAAAAGCTACCACGAGTATATTCCAGGAAAAACAAAACCTGGAAGTTTAAGCACCAAATCCAACAAGCAACAGTAACCTGAAGAGGACAAAGTGACCGGGTGAGGCTTACTTGGGAGAAGCGATCAAGGCTGCAGCCCAATCCCAGGTTTTGCTCAGGAAAGTGTGCTGGGCTGCAGGGGAAAGGACTGAGAACTGCCATGCAGCCTCATAAACACAGTGGTCATAGCAAAGTACAGTGACCAAAGCACATATATGCTCATAATAACATCATTCCACATGATGCTAATTTTATAACAATCACACAAATCATTTTTGTGCAATTTCCATACCTAGAAAAACAGACTGGGAGGATTACAAAATAGTAACAGTAGTAATCTCTGAGGCAATGACATTATATAGACAATTTATTTTTTTGTTGTGTTTTTCCTGGTGATTTATAAATTTCCATAAGGAATTATCATATAACCAGAATTATTTTTTAAAAATCTACTCCCTCTGACCAGATACACTGATGACAGTCTGTAGGTAATTACTGACACTTGAAAATACTCCCACTGTTTTAAGAAAGTGAAAGTTAAGAAGTGATCAAATCAAGACAGTGACCAGAGTTCCAACGATTTCTGGTGGATGGGGGAGCAAAAAATAAAACCCTGATTTGATTAACATGGTCTAAGTCTGATGACCAGGCTAAAATTTGGCTTCCCATGTTAGACTATCAGCCAACCTTACAGAAGCAGGGGTAGCAGCAGAGGGAAAGGGAGAGAGAGGCTCTCCACTAAACAGGAAGCCTGATGTGGAGCTCAATCTTAGGACCCTGAGATCATGACCTGAGCTGAAGGCTGACGCCTAATGAATGAGCCACCCAGGCGCCCTGGATTTTTCATTTTTAAATGGTGAAATAGAACGTTTTATTATCATTCTTTTTGGAGTTCAAATTATCCCCAGACTTGGCCAGTGGAGGCTATTGTGTTGACATCTCTACATTAAACTTGTTTTCTGGCTAAACAAGACTTCCCGAGACCATTTCTTTAATACCCTCATTTCCTTTTACTGAGAAATAGTGAGATGCCAAAGTACAGGACTAGGTATACTTATGCTCCGGGGGTACAGAAAAACTTTAATTTTGAACAATCCTGATTCCATCTGATCATCTCTAATTCAAATGTAGTATAGGGTTCTTCCTCGTCCTCCTTCCAGATTTCATCTCCCTTCCCCCTGGCTCTCAAAAATAACAATATATCCAATCAATTTCTCAACCTACAATGTAACAAAATAGTTGTATAAAATTAAGATGCCAAAAAGTTTTGAATTCTGAAACTAGTAGCTTCAAAATTACAACCATCTATAATAAAACCCACTGAGTAAAGGCTAAGATTTCTTTGTAGCTCTTCTTGTTCTTAGAATACGAGTCACTAAGGGTACTCAGAGCACTCTTTTTTTTTTTTTTTAAAGATTTATTTATTTATTTAACAGACAGAGATCACAAGTAGGCAGAGAGGCAGGCCGGGGTGGGGAGGGAAGCAGGCTCCCCGCTGAGCAGAGAGCCCGATGTGGGGCTCGATCCCAGGACCCCAGGATCATGACCCAAGCCGAAGGCAGAGGCTTTAACCCACTGAGCCACCCAGGCGCCCCTCAGAGCACTCTTCAAATCATATAACCACCTTCTTAGGAATTCTTAATTAACATACAAATTTTCTCTAAAAAACAGAATCCCAAAAAATACATTCTTGAGTAAGTGTCTAACAACACTGAACAGAAACCACTCTTCATAAAGGAGAGGCAGATTCTGTGTCTAGTGAACCCTATTAAATGATAATAGGAATGCACTAAGTTCACTGATAGCATGACTGATGTTCAAATCTTTCTTTTACCTTCAATTTTTTCCTGCAGTATATCCTCTGAAAAGTCTGAAGCCAATGCAGCCAATTTACTCAAACCCAGAAGGGTTTTCTTCTTTGCAAAGTAATGAGTTTCCATGTTTGCCAAACCCAGAAGTGTTGCATGAGCCTACAATAAACAAAACATGAAAAATGGTAAGATTCTGTGTACTAATTTAAATTGAAATAAAGGTTAAGTACAACCCAAAACTGTTTTCCCCCGATACGAATGAAAGGTCAGATCCAATACCAGCAAACCTAAAACTGATTGGTACTATATACCAGGAGTAACTACTCAATAAAATATTAACCAGCCACACTAATTACTGGGAAAAGAAATGCGTACAAAACATCTGTTCTATAATAACTATATATTCAATTGAACAACTTGTCAAGGACAAACTTTAAAATTAATTCTTGTACTATTTTTACTCATAATTTGAACATTTTCATTACAAAAAAAGGCAATAGACTGTTCTTTACACATTAATAAAATTTTTGTACTTTACTATAATAGTAGTCAAATCACAAAAGATACTTTTTTTTACTGAGACACTAAAAGTAATGGCAACACTACCATAAGTAAAAAAGAACAGTTTATTCAAATTATGTCAGAGAATAGGAGATACATATTTCGAATAATCTCTTAGGGGCACTTGGGTGGCTCAGTCGTTAAGAGTCTGCCTTTGGCTTGTGTCATGATCCCAAGGTCCTGGGATCAAGCCCCGCATCGGGCTCCCTGCTCAGTGGGAAGCCTGCTTCTCTCTCTCCCACTCCACCTGCTTGTGTTCCCTCTCTTGTTGGGTCCCTCTCTGTCAAATAAATAAATAAAACCTTAAAAAAAAAAACAAAGTAATCTCTAAATAGTATTCTAATCACTAAACTACACTAATCAAGTAAAAAACTGCCTAACTCTGCTCGATGTAACTCAATTGTTCTTACCTTTTCTAATTCTTGGCTGTTAATTTCATGCAACCAGCTGAGATGTTCATGAGCCTGCAAAAAATTCGCCAACTCTCCATGCTGAGAAATGGGCTGAGATAATAATTTGCCTCGCTTTCCTTTCTCCAGATACCAACGGAAGAGAAAGTCTGAAAAATTCTACAAATAGTAGGGCAAAAAATCCAATAATATTCAGTAATATAATTTTTTAAAGTACATTTCTATATTAAAATATTAATTTTTTTTCAAAGGTCTTAGATTGCAGAACAAAAATCTTTAAACACTTAGATTTTCTATGTGGTAAGGTCCTAAAAAAAACTCAAGTCACCTCATTTAATAAATGGGGAATTCAGATTCAAAAAGAGGATCTTGCGCAAGATCACATAAACTTTAGATGTGCATGGTATGGTATGGTAGCCATTAGCTATATACAGCTGTTTAAACTTAATTAAAATTTTAAAATTCAGTTCCTCAGTCACACTAGCCACATTTCAAGTGCTCAATGGCCCTATGCCCTTAGACTACATGAGTAAGATCTCCAATGTCACAGAAAGCTCTATGTGACAGCGCAGGTCGAAAGATTCTTCAGGGTTGAATTCGGTGTCAGAAGGCCATGCAGGTTTGCATGATAAATAGGAGTCTAGAGGGGCCCTCAATGCCTTGCTGGTTTTTCCCACCAGACGTTTGCTGAATGCTGGGTAGTACAGAAGGCTACGGTGCAAAGGAAGACCAGAATGTCCTACACGGTATGTAAGAGATGTTTCCACTAAAGCGGGAACTCTGCAACAAACACACCGGTCCCACAAGACTTCAAAACTGGACATGAAATGAATGTAACAAAAGCTGAAACCAAGCCTTGGCCCACTCCTATTCTTGATGAATCAAGTGACCTGCCTCTCATCCTATCTGCCTCCCCAAGGAAAAAGAGCATTCATTTCCATCTTTAAGGTTCTTTTATACACAACATCCAAAATAAAACAAAAAAAAAATCACAAGACATAAAAACAGAAAAATATGACTAATAAGGAGACAACAGAACAGACCAGAAAATGATCAGATTTTGGAGGCAGCATGGAAGGATTTTTAAATAACTACTAAACATATTAAAGAAAGTAAATGAATACAAAAATGGATGGAAAATGTCAACACGGGATTAGAGTCCACAAAAAGAATAAAAATCATGATGGGCGCAAAAGTATTTACTAGGCCCTAGTCAAATATGGTAAGTTACGCCCAGTTTACAATATACCATTAACACCATCAAAAACGTGGTTGTGAAACAGTTAATGATAAGCACAAATATCAATGATGTATTAAGAGAAACAAGCAATTGGCGAAACATGTTTGTCTGCAATATTAGAGAGTATGGAGACTAGAACAATACAAACCAAATGTTAAAAAGGGTTCTCTCTGGGTGGTGAAATTGTGAGGGACTTAAAATTTTCTATTTTATAGACGTTTTCCGAATTTTATACAATGTCACTTTTACAGTAGGAAAAAATCGGTTTTTACATGAATATCAACTGACTGAATAAAGTGGCTTTAAGGAGCAACTCAAATTCACCTAAAGATTGTCATAATGAGAACTTAAAAAAAAAAAAAAAAAAGCATTATGTCAATCAAGAAAAGCTGAGCTCTCCAAAAGTTGTAGGATCCTGTGCTCCCATGAAATTTTTTCAAAGTTTTAAAACTCTCCCAATATCCGTCTACCCAAGTACTTTTAATTATAACTAGAAATACCAGAATAGAACTGAGAGTTTTAACACTTTGTTCAAAGGTCAGAGAATCTTTCAGTAATATCTGGAATTATCTGCCAACTTACAAAGAAACATAATGTACAAATTAGTATCTAAGTTAACAGCATCTTCCTAAAAACCGAACATTTGAAATGGTAAAACCAACTACCCGATCTACTGCCTATGTCCTCTGTGTTCATTACCTGATCAGCAAATTGGGTCATGTAGCGCTGGAGTCTGGTCTGGTTGTCCGTCTGCTCACACATCTGTACTAAGATATCAAAGTCACAGTACTTTTCTGCTAATGAAGCAGCCCACGGGTACTGGCCTAGTGTGACTGTAAAAATGAGAACAGACGGAAAAAAAAAATCCTGTTAGTGAAAACTTAATATGTGATGAAAAAAATATTACTTGAAATTTTACCTTTAACTCATACCATACTCTAAAAACAATTAATGGAATAGAAACCTTTCCAGTCACTGGCATTCAGTTTCATAATCCACATAAATTCATTAAAGACACAAATTTAATCCACTGCTTGTTCCCACCTACCTAGGAGGCTATGCCCTTCCTGTGTGTACAAGCCCCTCTTCCTCATCCTAGCTATGAAGAGAACGTGTCCTTTGCTGAACAGCCACAGTCTCCTAGCTGCGGCCTCTAACAGCCCTCATCGTGCTCTACTGGGCAGACCAGTTATTTGTGTAAAGGTCTCAGATGACAAGCTTGAAGGACAGTCTCCAATTGTTGCTAATTTACCTTTCCAAATCCTCTTCAGCATGGTACCTGTACCTAGAAGTTTCGAGAACAGGGCGGAACAAACGAGCACAGGAAGCTGCACACACACGCAGCAAGGCCTTGGTCACGGCTGGGTGAAGACAGTACACCGAACACGCTGCATTAATGATTTGACTCCTTCATCCGTTATGCAAATTCGAAGACCCACGGCCTTCGCTAAATACCATGTACTTACGAAGTGGAGATAAGAGATCTGCTCTCTTCTGGAGGTACTCCATCTCCAGACTGTTGTATCTTTCTTGATCACCAGCTCGGTCCAGAGACCTCAGCTGGGAAACATAACCATCCAGGAAGCAATCAATCAGTGCCACCAGCTGCTCTGTCAGAATGTTTCGGAGGTTGCTGTCTGCCTGAGGATAAACCACTTTCAGGACAATCCCATGCTGGCGTTCTATTACTGTTCGGATGCCTGAAGGACCACTTGTTGCTGTGAAATCACACAAATTAACACGGTAAGTAAGGGCTCTACACTGGCTGAGAAAGGCCAACTGCCTAAAACTTATCACCTCACTGCTGCTGGAAAAAGAAATCAAACAGGGTTTCAGTTGATAGATACCCGTCTGTCCTGCTCAAATCCCATCTTCTCTGTGGGAGACTTCCTCAACAAAGCCAGGTAAACATGGTCCTTCTTCCTTCTAAATCCCTTTGATGCTGCTCCACATACTTTTTTGTATTAAATCAACATTAAATAGAGTCAACACCTCCATAACCAGGACATGCTTCTTTGAACAACTATATGCCCTAAAATCTAGGAGACATGGGGTGCCTCAGTCACTAGAGCATGCGACTCTCGATCCTGGGGTCACAAGTTCAAGTCTCTCGTTGGGGGCAGCAATTACTTAAAAAATAAAATCTAGTGCACACATAGTAAGTACTATGAAATACATCATGGAGAGATCTATAAATTATTCAAGGGAATAAAGCAATTTTCACGAGAATTGCTCATTCTGGTGACAGCACTTATTTCTCATTCCACTTATAAACCTACACTAATGGAGTAATATGGCTTCCCAAAAGGTCATTAGGAATATGCTTTGAATCACTGTTAATAATAAATCAGTGTATTTGGGCTCAGCGCTTGAAATCTCACCCGTCCAGGGAACATATTCAGGTTCCTGTTCTGCCGGTTCTTCTCTTCTATATAAGGAGTTTCTATTTTGCCGATGATGACTAGCAGCTTGTAGCATGTCCTGGGGAAAACGTGTTAGCATGTGCAGAAAGTGACGAATCCCAGTATTTTTAAAGGTAATTTGAAACATCAAAGTCTATTAATACCAAAAATTACTCAGCACAGGTCTGCAGAATTACTTTTTGGTTCTTATTCTACATTTGAAATTTAAATTCAATTTTGGAAAACGATAGTAACCAAAGTAGGAAAACCATTGCTATAAAGACCATTAGCTAAGACTAAATGGCACATTTTAATCAGTACTATAAACAATAACGTTTTGAGTGATTTATTTAAGTAGTCAGTGTAATATTTATACATTTGTAATGATATATCCATCCTTCTCCAAATAAAAGGTTTGTTTTACCAAACACGACTCAGGAACATAGAAATTAATACACAAGGCAAACATTCAAAATGTTTGGCTGATTAATAAAATGACTGGTATTTTTTTAAACTTCTGGAATTAAATGCTAAACACTTATAAATTACTGGCAATACAGAGTAGGAATACGGAAGCCACTTTCTCTTCTATCCACACTCTGGTCTTTGATTTGCTGAAATCTTCACAGTAGTTTTATACCTTAAGAATACTGTTGACATTGATGACCACCTCAGCCCACTCAACGGATTCCAATGATGTATCCTTTAAGACCTGCTCCTCATGCTCGAGCAAGCACTCACAGACAGTGTCTACCTGGGACACCTGGGGAAGTACAGAGAAGGCAAAACAAAAATTATGGCAATGCACAGTAATTACAACTGCCCAGAATCTACTCAAGGGGCTTTTCTCATCAAGGAATATCCTCAGTTCATTAGCCAGAATAAAACAGCGGATGGTAAAAATGAATTTAAAAGGAAGTAGAAAGAGAAAATAATGTTCAAGGGATCCTTGAGCAAAAAGGTTTGAACCGCATGAGTCCACTTACACGTGGATGTTTTTCGATACAGTACAGTAAATTTCTCCTTTATGATTTTTTAAAACACTCTGACTGTGTGGGGGTTAGCACCCTTAAGCCTCCACATTGTTCAAGAGTCAAATGTATGTAACTTCTTTTCTAATTTTTTGTCATTATTAACACATGAAGATAATGAAGCCAAAATGTTCTTTAAGCACTGAAACACCTATTTCCAGCTTCAGCCCACAGTGAAACTCCCCCGCTTTATTTATTTATAAAAGATTTTATTTATTTATTTGACAGAGAGATCACAAGTAGGTAGAGAGGCAGGCAGAGAGAGGTGGGGAAAGCAGGTTGCCTGCTGAGCAGAGAGCCTGCTACAGGGCTCGGTCCTAGTACCCTAAGATCATGACCTGAGCCGAAGGCAGACACGTAACCCTCTGAGCCATCCAGGCACCCCAAACTTCCCCCCTTTATTAAGTGAGTATTTACTTAATACATTAAGAGTTTGTATAGCATTGAGCACACACAAAAATAACAGAAGTGAGGTTTGCTGCCCTTAAGCTTATAAACTAGCTGAAGGAACAAAACATGCAAAATGTGACCCCCCCCCAAATCGTCTTTTAAACCCTGTTCTTCCTTTTCTATTTCAGGTGTTAGTCAAAGGCATCCTAACAGCCACAGCAAGAGACTTTTGGCTCATTTAATTTGTAAGATTAAATGCCAGAAGTTCTTAATACTGTTAATGTGAAAATGGTAAGAAAGCATATATGACATAAAAAAGCAGAAGATAAAAAAGCAGGGATGCCTGATGGCTCAGTCGGTTAAGTGTCTGCCCTCGGCTCAGGTCATGATCCCAGGGTCCTGGGATCAAGCCCCAATTCGGGTTCCTTGCTCAGTAGGAAATCTGCTTCTCCTTCTGCCTCTGCTGCTCCTCCTGATTTTGTTCTCTCTCTCTGACAAATAAATAAAATCTTAAAAAGTATATATAAAAGCAAATAAAATGTCAAAACAATTACTAAACACCTTCACCACGAGTGCATACTCAGTGCATACTCAGTGATTTCAAACACTATTCATACGGGGACCCAACAGTCTGTCCCTTAAGCAGTTAACTCTATGGAACCCTAGGATTCAAAACTACAACCCAAAGGAAACAAGACCAGTAAACATCATGAGGAATTAAGATAAATGGTGACATCGGGGCGCCTGGGTGGCTCAGTGGGTTAAAGCCTCTGACTTTGGCTCAGGTCATGATCCCAGAGTCCTGGGATCGAGCCCCGCATTGCACTCTCTGCTTAGCAAGGAGCCTGCTTATTACTCTCTCTCTCTCTGCCTGCCTCTCTGCCTACTTGTGACCTCCGTCTGTCAAATAAATAAGTAAAAATCTTTAAATAAAAAAAAATTTTTTTTTTAAATGGTGACATAGAGTCTTAAGCATTACCATTTTCCATATGGAGCGTTCTTTTAAAGAACCAATCACATTTTTGGTTTTGTTCTATCATACTCCTAAGGTACTACTCATGAATTACAGATCCAACTGATAATTTCCAGATTCTTCCTCCCCCCCTCCACCCCCGTTAACTGGAAAATGCAGGTATAATGAATTAACTAGTATGCTTTCCATTTTGATCCAAAAACAGAAAATGGAACCAGGCTCTTACTCAATTCTTCCAAAGAATTAGTTAATAACTTCTTAAAAAATTTGCTTTGCCATGTAAAATTATGTATGAACAAAGACCAAAAAGAACACAAAAGTTACAACAGTTTGTGAAAGGAATCTATATACCTTAAGGATCCTCCTACCTTTTTCCCTTCAAACCCTAATAGCCTCTCAAACGTGAGGCCTTGAGAGACTTACAACCCCTCATTTCCAAATCCCTTTCCTTAAATATACGGAAACCTACTAACTCTTCTTACAGTACTCCAATCCTTCCAGCCAACAAGCTAGATAGCTCTTCTAGACTTGTTCAGGATCTCAGAATGATCAACAACGCAGTCATCGCTATCCGCCCCACTGTCCTCAGTCCACACACCCTCTTCCCCACCATTCCACCCTCCACCATGTACTTTACTGTCTTAAGACTTTAGGATGCATTCTTCACTATTCCCAACTCCCCAGAATCCCAAGACATTTTCACCTTTACCTGGACTGACCCTGACACCTCACACACCCAACAATTAACTTGGATGGTCCTCCTGCAGGGTTTTTGGGATAGTCCCCACCTCTTCGAACAGCTCTGACATTGGATAACCTCTCCCTCCCAAATAGTACTCTTATCCAACTCGTAGGTGACCTTCTCTGTAGCCCTTCTTTGCCCACTTCTATTTCTGACACCATCACTCTCCTCCCCTTCCTACACAACAAAGAGTTAGGGCCAAGTGCAGACACCTGTGAGTTTAGTCCGTAAGCTTGACTGGGGGTAGGGGAGTGAGGGCTCTGCATACATTCCTTTCAGACTGTTTAGATCATGAAATTTGAGGTGAACTGTTTTTCTTTCATTCAGATTTTGGGGATATTTCCTACATTTGAAAAATAAAAAAATAAAACAAAAAAGTGCTTTGCCTTATATCCTTAGGAAAAAAGCGAACCCAAATATACAAGAACAAGGCATTCTTAGAACTAAATACATTTATGGAATCAACAGAAAACCTGAACCTATTTCAGCATCTTAAATAATTTTTAGGTTACAGTACATGAAAAATAGTTGACCCTTAAATAAGACAGATTTAAACTGCATGGGTCCACTGATGCACAAATTTTTTTTCCATACCTACAGTATATGAATTCAATACTGTGAATTTATTTTCTCTTCCTTATGTAAATTTTAACATTCCCTTTATTATAAGAATGAGTATATAATACTGTATATAACATATAAAATGTGTGTTAATTTGACTATTGATAAAGCTTCTGGTCAACAGTAAGCTATTAGTAGTTAAGTTTTTGAAGTTACACACAGATTTTCCATTGTGCAAGGGGGTTCGCATGTTGTTCAAGGGTCAACTGTAATAAGAAGAAAAAAAGACTTCTGGCATATCCTGCTAGATTATAGCTAGAATGTAACAGAGAAGAAATAAAAATGAGACTCACCAAATAGAATTTAAATAGAATTAAAGTTCCTCACAGCTAAAAAAACAATTTCAAATTGCAGAGCTGCGAGAAGAGCTCAAACCATTAATGTCACCATCTTTATAGGGAGAGAGTAAAGTCTCCCCTCCCCCTTCATGAGGTTGTAAAGTCGCACAAGAATAAGAGCTGTACACTATTATCACAACGGTCAGCTGCACCAGCTGGCCAAAGTCTTAATCTCTTCTCCCTGGGAAGTTCACATTAGGGTTTTCTTTTCCTTTGAAAATAAATCTGAGTTTAAAAGCAAGGTAGATAGTAGGATCCTAGCAGGTAGCTGAGCTGAGTTTAGTGAAGGGACAGCTTATGGTGGTGCTGGCCAGGGTCAGAGGATCTACAGGAAGGTGCTGCATCCAGGGCTAGCAACAGGCAGCCCCTATTAAGCCCAGGCATGAAGGGGCCCTGGGCGGAAGGAGTTACAGGACACGTGGAGAGCAGCCAGTGAGAAGCCGCAGTCTCTGACAGAAGGCACAGCCAACTGCAGTGGAAGCAGGGAAGGAAAGAAGCTGGGGGAATAACAGAACAAATATTAACAGATAAGCACTCCCAACCTGATGGTGCCTCACTGTTATCAAAGACAACAGGAAGGCACAGAAACCCATGGACAAGTTGCCCTCTGGGGCAGCATCAAGAGTGGATTTGGAGAGGCAAAAGGAAAATATCCAGCAGACAGTAGAAAATAGTCAATTTTGTAAGCTCTAATTTATAGGGAATGTAATAAGTAAATACGGAGTCCTATTTAAAATTTCAAAAAGATTTTTTTGTCCTCAATCTTCTCCCTGTTTGAGGCATGATCAGCAAATGGCAGAGCTCTAAGAAGCCACATTAAAAGCAAAAAACTACTCTTACTTCTCTAAAAAAGACGTCTGCGGGAGTCAGGTTGGATGGGATTTCACAGTCCCTCTTGTTTAAAGCAATCATTATTGCTGTGTTCACCAGGTCAGAGAGCCTCGAGTGGTAGTTCTTGAGAACAATGGCGGCTGATAACTTCTCAGCATGCTCGCAGAGCAACAGTCGAGTTGCCATGGGCATCCCTCTTACTGCAAAAGTGTGAAGACGTCCAAATAAGCCAACCTGGCGAAAAACAAACACATGTTCTTAGAAAGCATTTATAGTAACACACAATATAATGCAGGCTTATCTCCACCAGCAGCACAATGGGTACAGAGCCACTGACCTTAGCTGTCCCCAATAAAGTACCTCAGCTATCTTCTCCTTTCCACTGTTTTAAACACACACACACTCTCTTTCTCTCTCTCTCTCTCTCTCTCTCTCTTCAGCCAGAGGCATGAGCAACCATAAAAAAGTACAGATGTTCCTTTTCTGAGATTAAGGTCATTCCACTACTCTATCTTATTTCTCATTTATTCTGGTTATCAAAAGCATAAAATTGCTCTTTTCTACCTAACTCCTCAAGGTTCTAGATCTCTGTGAACTAGAAACTCAGCAGTCTCCATCATTAGTGACTAACTTCCATGGAAACTAAAAGCCATGGGAAAGGTGGGGGCATCTCTAATCCTTTGCACTACTACCTCCGATCTGCCTGATGCCCATTTCTGATGTGTTACTACTAGATTCTGAAGTTCTTCTAAGCTTTCTCATCTGATAAAGCGTTAACATCCCAACTAGGAAGAAGCCAAGAGACATATCTAAACACTGAATACTCTTCCAGATTTTATTACTGAGTGACTTGATTTTTGTATGCTGAGGTTTATTTTTAAAAAAATACAAAAAAACAAAAATAAACAACGCCCCAAATCCCCAGAGAAGTCCTACTGAAATGGGCAAAAACCACAAATGGTTAGAAAAGGGTTTTTTTTTTCCTGAATTATATTTCTTTTATTACAACAAGCTTAAAGAAACAATGAGAAATCTACCTTTTGCTAAAAGGGCTAAAATGGTTTTCTGTGAATCCCCCATGAGGTTATTAGTGACAGTCCTCTCCCTCTTCTTTTTTTAAAGTATAAAGAGAGCCCTACAGTGTGTAAATGGCAAGCCACAGGAGCCACTCTTTCTGTATAAGAGACACCAGAATCATTGAGGAACATCAGCAGTCAAGACAGGAGGAACAAGCGGTAATTGTAGTGAAAAGCCAAAACAACTCGTGTCTTGGAAGTCTGGTTTATGCATGTCAAGAACAAACACTGCAACATCAGGCAGCTGAACACAAAAGACAAAAGTTGACATTGTGGGTCTTTTTCCTTTTTCTCTGTGCAAAAAAGCTCTTTCATTTTTCCTAAATGAGAGAAGACTGTTCAAGATTTTATTTATCTGACAGAGAGCACAAGCAGAGGGAGAGGGAGAAGCAGGCTCCCCTGCCGAGCAGGGAACCCAAAGTGGGGCTTGATTCCAGGAACCTGGGACCATGACCCGAACGCAGGGGACCACTTAACCAACTAAGCCACCCTGGTGTCCTGAGAAGACTGTTTCTACACTGTGACCTGACACAAAAATGCTGCATGCCCAGGGTGCCGTGCCCAGCAGCACCTCTCACTGACTACTATTGTGAGCAGAGAACCTGGACAGTAAGAGGATGAACATGACCTCTCTTGGCTGGAGAACCATTTCTTGTCACTTTGCTGCTGAATTCACTAGTTAAACTGCTCAAAGAAAAGCTGCACCCTGACTTTGGGCATCTACAGCAATTACATATAAAGACTATCAACTAAGAGGACAGCACACGTGAACCCTTTGTTCGCGGAATACAACCAAAGAGAGAGTAGGTCTGATAAACTGGGGCCAGAATGAAGGATAATACGGCAGGTCAGACCTCAACGCTCTCGGGAACATCCTCTGCCACCCCTAGTGAATAGCAAAGCCAGGAAAGAGGCTGTTAAGCTCTGACCCATGAAAGAGAACAGTACAAAACGTTTCACAAAGGCATCTCTTCCCAACACACTCCCTTTGGGGCTCAACCAACAGTGCAGGGCTTGCGAGGCATAATGTGGACACCAGAGCTCTCAGTTGAACGTGGTCTGCCACCTTGGATTCCCCATGGTGCAAAGAGAACTGGAACCCTGTCAGACTCCCGGCACTATTTCACTCACACTGGTCCCTTTAAAGTCTTCTTTCCTCAAGCCAGACCCCTAAAGGACCCTGTATGCATGAGGGTCTAGACTCATGGCCCATATGTCAAGCTGTAGTTAGAGCAGGAGGACTTAAACCTGATGAATTCTACTCTGTAAAACAGCAACCGTCCATGAGTTGGGGGTATCAATGAGGTTTCTATGAACGGGAAGACTGAACCGGGATGTGCAAGGCAGGATTTGAACGCCTAGGCCTAGCAGCCTGCAGGCGTGACTCAGGCACTAAGCTCCCAGCCTGCCCTGACTAATGCTGGCATTGGGGTGCAGAGGGGGCACCTGCTCAGTGTTTAAACAGAGTCCTCACACAGAGGGGCTAGACCTCTGTGACACTCCTAAAGCTCAACGTACTGCTACCTTTGCAAAAGACAGGCACGATTCTTGTCTGCATGAGTGCGAGATCTGCTTTCTTAATTCCTTCACTAGTAAAGCAACACCCTAGAAAAGAAGAAACTTGGAAAATCGTGGGAAAAACCACATGGCCTTTCCCAGTGCTAGCTGTCTGTGTTGGGGTATGAGTTGCAAACTTTCATGACTCTGAAAGCTACAATACAGGTTACCTACCTAGGGCAGTCTGCAAAGAGTCCTGTTTTTCCCTCACAGAACACAAGAAAAAGGGAAAACTGACTCACGCTGCAGTAGGTCACCATTCTGGAAATCTCTCCACCACACTGTCCATGGCAAAAGCGGAGAGCCAACTTGCACATGGTTAGAAAACTTAACAATATGGAGAGGTAAGAGTCCCCAGCCCATTCCCTACTGGAGCTATGGTTAAATTTCCCTATCTTTATCTGCTTTTGTGGCACTCATTTGCTAGCAGGCATTTTTCTTTTTTTTAAAACACAAAGGAGTCACACTATATTGTCTGTACCTTATTTTTTTCCACATTAACTCATTTTTTTTTTACATTATTTTTAATGACCATGGAATAGGTCACTGAATCAACCTGTCTTAATTTATTCGACCTGTTTACCTGGTTATTTTAAAGTAAGAGTTGCATGTCAAAAAAAAAAAAAAAAAAAAGAGTTGCATAGTCATTTTGGATTTGAATTTTCTTCCTGGTTCCCTCACAAATACTGTAAATGCAGTTTTTACCTGAGGGAACTCTGCCTGCCTGCTTTTACTCACCTCAGCATGGCAGCACTGCCAGTAAAGTGATGTCTATATATTAGCGTCACTCAAGCCACATAACAAACAGGAGCACAGTAACTTCCTGCTTCTAAGCTTCTCCAAACTACATGTGAAGACATATGCTTCCCTCAGTGCCTGAAAACTGGAGGCAGAGGTACTGTCCTGAGGCCTTGATATTAATTTTCATTCTCTTTAGCATGAGATATGGCCTTGTTGGCACAGAGTCTGGCTTGAGGAGGAGAACCTCATATTCAGAAGTATTTCCTCAGGAACACCTGGGTGGCTCAGTCAGTTAAGTGTCTGCCTTCAGCTCAGGTCATGATCCCAAGGTCCTGGGATTGAGTCCCACATCGGGTTCCTTGCTCAGCGAGGAACCTGCCTCTCCTTTTGCCTGCCACTCCCCCTCCTCATGCTCTTTCTCTCTCCAACAAATAAATAAATAAAACCTTAAAAAAAAAAGTATTTCCTTAGAGACAAGTATCTGGTTATACAATCGTTTACATTAATAATAATTAACAATTAATAATATGCTCTGAAATATTAAAGGTAATTCAAACATAAAGGCATAGCAATAATGGGGTTTTTAGATCCAGCTAGGTATTACCTGGCAGTGGACGCTGAATCCAAGAGTTGAATGACTCCAGCAGGGTTTCTGAAGCCCAGGGAGGCTGTGCCAAGAGATACAGCAACTGCTCCTACCCATGGCTCTCTCACCCTCTGATAAATTAGTGTCTCCTCGGTGTCACATAGTAAGGCATGAACTCCTTCCATCCCAGTATATACGACACAACCCTCCTGCCACAAGACTTTGGGCCTCCTCCCATCAAGAGGTAAAATCCATTTCTCAATCCTTTTCATCTGGACTGGCGGTGACTTGCTTTGACCAATGTCACTTTGGTGGAAGTGACATTTTGTGACAACTAGGGTAAGACCTGAGGAAGACTACAGCTTCTAAGTTCATCCCCATGGAGGGCTGTCCTGAGACCACAGAAAGCCAGTTCAGCCTAAAAGAGAATTATAGACTAAGCAGAGGAGAAGAACCATGTGGCCCAGCTGACAGACTGACATCCAGTGTCAGGCGAGAGACGCTTGGGGACCTTCCAGCTCAGCCCACCCTAAATGCAGTTCAAGGAGTGGTCCAGCTGAAATCCACAAAAAAACTGCTCAGGTACCTGAAAGAAATGTTTTAATCCACATTTTGGGATGGTTTGTTAGGTATTAATAGTTAACTGATATATCTGACTAAATAAACAATTACATCAGAACAAATCTGTTCCCCACCCCTCCATTAGTCTGTAGTCTATCTAAACCACTTTAAAAAGAAAGGAGAGAGACTTGAATGATTAGAGTGCCCTTGCCAAGACAATAAAAGTAGACAGGAGCCAAACCATATGTTACAAACATTCTGGAATCATCTAGAACTGACCTGTTCAATAAGGTATCCACTATCCACCAAAGTGATGATTTAAATTTAACTAAAATAAATTAAAAACAAATATAGTTCCTCAGTTGTACCACCCATATTTTAAGTGCTCGGCAGCTGCCTGTGACTACTGAGTAACACAGATATAGAACATTCTCATCACCACAGAAAGTTCTATTAGACAGCATCGTAATCTCTTTAACATGAAGGCATTACCAATTTCGGAAAAAATAAGCAAAAGTGGGATTAAATGTATTCATTTGGATATATAACATGCTTGGGAGCCACTACTGATCAACAAGGGCTAATTAATCGGCTTCACATAGAACAAGCAGGATTTGCTCCAACAGTCCTTCAGTATCACTTGCTAAGTGATACTGTGTAACAATTCTGTCTAGCTGCAAAAACATATTCTAATTTTAGGCCCAATATAAATGGGGATACTCCACTAAAAAACAAAAACAAAAACAAAAACAAAACAAGAAACCACCACAAACTTTAAATAAGGAATTGATTCTAATGGCACTTCAAAATTATAACCCAAAAATCAAAATCTGTCATTGCCTTACTATTCTTCACGATCTTTTCAATAATACAAAGCAATTCATGAAAACCTAAGTTGACATAAAACCACACAGGTATCATAGAATCTTAAAAGAAAGTTGAAACATTTCTGTGGAAATACACTGTTTTTCTTCTTTTCAGCCTGTTTCCCATGCAGCTTTTATACTTGAATAGCTCCCTATCCCCCAACAACCCTTATTTACTTTCAAGTCAGCAAAGAAACTGGAAAACACTAGTCCTGTCCAACCCCACAAAACACCTCAGAATAAGAAAGGATCTCCCACTGTCCTGGAGAGAGTGACAAAAGACACAGAAAAGCCAGGTGTCCTGGCCATTCTTGTTCACAGAAACTAGAATGCTTACTTGGTGAATAAAGTCCATAAGGAAAGAATGGGCCTTCATCTTGTCTTCTAGCTGGTGAAGAATAATCAGTGATGTATTGCTAAACCCAGGTGCTTCTGTTGAAACATAAGAACAAAATTTAAACACATAATGTGCTGACTTTACAATAATTACTGCTATTAAATTAAAAACTTAAAAAATATCTATACGCCAAAGGAAAATACCAACCTTTTCATGGAACTATTTGCGACTATTTGTAACATTACCCAAGATTTTAAAAAATTTAGACGAAAATTTTGGTAGTTTGACACAATTCATACTATATTTATTCAAAACACAAACCCTGTTATTATTAATCATTTATATCATTCTAAGCTTGCCAGCTCAAAATGAAGTCAAAGAAAAAAGGTAAGCACTGATGTTTCCTTCCTAACCCTCTAATGAGGCTTAGCAAACTTGCTAAGTAGCACATCAGAGGGAGAAACGGACACTGGAGACAGTTTGCTGGTACCTAGGAAAGCTGAGTGCCCGTGATGCTGCGGCGGAAGTGTAAGAAGGACGGTCACCCAGGGCAGAAAGGAAAGCACAGAGCAGAGACATGATATGCTCACTTCTATATGCTGAGATTAGCTCATTGCCGCTCATTGGGAAATTTATCATTTTTATTAGGCAAAAACAATGATTATGCCAAAATTATCATTTAATTTGGGAGCTATTAAATAAGTACCAAATGCTTATCCATGCCACCAATTTCCCTTTAGAAATTAAATGGTAAGAAAGCTAAGTAGGGCTAATTAATCTGCTTCACATACAACAAGCAGGATTTGCTCTAACAGTCCTTCAGTTTTTATCACGTAGATATGTTCTGAGCCTTTTTCAAAATCTACTATAAGGTAAGTTATAACCTTTTAAAAAAAGTAAACTAATAATTGCTTCAAAAACTAAAAAAAAAATGCTTCAAGAAATGCTTTAATGGGGCGCCTAGGTGGCTCAATGGGTTAAAGACTCTGCCTTCGGCTCAGGTCATGATCCCAGGGTCCTGGGATCGAGCCCCTCATCGGGCTCTCTGCTCAGCGGGGAACCTGCTTCCCTTCCTCTCTCTCTGCCTGCCTCTCTGCCTACTTGTGATCTGTCTGTCAAATAAATAAATAAAATCTTTAAAAAAAAAAGAAATGCTTTAATAAAAGAACCGTAATATGCTCAAAACATATCACTGCATAATATGAAAAGTAGAAGTTCTTACCCTCAGGCACAGACTCAGCCCACCGTGGGTCAGATGCTGGGTAGTCATCCACCAGATCCACACTGATTTGTGTAACAGCTCTGTCTAGTTCACAATCAGAATCCAAATCAGAACGGGAGGAAAAGAGCTCATCAACCATCATTTGAGCATGACCTAGATCTTTTCTGAAATAAAATTAGAAAATAGAAGTATTAAAGGAGGCAAACCATTTTAAAAATTCACCATGAAAAAGTTAACTATGGGGGCGCCTGGGTGGCTCAGTTGGTGAAGCGTCTGCCTTCGGTTCATGATCCTGGGGTCCTGGGACTGAGCCCCGAGTCCGGCTCTCTGCTCGACAGGGAGTCTGGTTCTCTCTTCCCCTCTGCCCCTCCTCCCGCTGGTGCTCATTCACGCACTCTCTCTCACACTCACTCTCCCCTCGCCTCAAACAAAGAAATAAAATCTTTCAAAAAAGAGTAAGGTAACAGTGAAAGTCCCCTATTTTAGTCCAAAGTTACCTTTTATAAAAAAGATTTATTTATTTGAGATAGAGAGAGAAAGAGCATGCCAAGGGAAGGGAAGAGGGAGAGAATCTCAAGCAGACTCCCCACTGAGCTCAGAGCCCCACACAGAGCTCAATCTCACCACCAGTGAGATCGTGACCTGAGCGAGTCAGACACTCAATGGACCAAGCCACCCAGGTGCCCCAACGTTAACTACTTTCAGTAACATTTATTTAAAAGGGAGACAATCATTACACATTTATTAATGCAATAATCATATGTTGAGTACTTACAACATGCTAGGCACTGGAGCCAGAATGACAAGACGTTAAAAAACACTCTAAGACTTCACCAAGGACACAGTGTCACAAGAAGCCAGAGTTAAACAAGTAGTTACATGTATACTGTGACATGAAAAGAACAGAGCACTTGCTACAGAGCACACAGAAGGGAAACCAAAACCATCCCAGGGGCAGGGAAAACTCGCTGGAGAAAAAGGTGGATAAGCAGAGGCCTACAGCTACAGAAGCGGAGCAGCGAGGCTGAGGAGATTCTGGGGAGGGGTACACGGTGGCAGAGAGAGCACACATCACACCTGTGAGTAAGTACGTCCGTATCTTAGCAAAGAACTGAAGCCATAGGGAAGAGGAGATCACCCAGGGAAGAAGCCTTCCAGGGCAGACTCTCAGAAACACCACCAATCAAAAGGCAGAATACATAAAACCTCACACTCCATGTAATGGAGTTATAGGCACTAGAAGGCACTTCTTAGGCACTAAGAAGAAAGTGTCACGATCTGTTCTATTTTCCCAAAGGATCATCTTAGGATATGGACAGGGGGCAGAAATACTCAGATAGGAAGTTCCCGCACGGGCGCCTGGGTGGCTCAGTCACTGGCATCTGCCTTCAGCTCAGGTCATGATCCCAGAGTCCTGGGATCGAGCCCCGCATCAGGTTCCCTGATCCCTCTGCTTGTGTTCCCTCTCTCATTGTGTCTCTCTCTAATAAATAAATAAAATCTGGACCAAAAAAAAAAAGTTATTGCAGAAACCCAGACAAGAGAGGGGGGTCTCCACTAGCAGTAGCTGCAGAGGAGAATGGAGACAAGTAGTCAGGTTTGAGAAAAAAAGAGATTTGAGGTACATATTGGCAACTGTTTGGATCTGATATATTTTTGCTCTGAAGCTGAATGTATTGTGGTAGGACATTTTTACCAGTGGCAGAAACAGTGGGTAAAAGAGAAAGAATAAGCTTTGGAGAAGACAAGCAAGGCTGTGGGCACATTGAACTGAGATGCTTATGGAATAACAGCTACTCTGGAACATTCTTCATTTGTATATAATGGCCTAGAGTACGGTAAATCTGTGTTTCTTTGGCAAATGAAGTAAGTAGGAAAAAAAAAGGGAGTAGAGAGAGAAAAATTACGATAGACAACGGCAAAGGCAGACAACTTTTCAGGCAGTTTAGTTATAAACAGGAACAAACAAAAGGGGTAGTAGATCAGAGGGGGACACAAAGTCAAAGACTGGTCTTTTTCTTTTTTTTTTTTTTTAAGATTTATTTATTTGAGAGAGAGAGAGAGAGAGAGAGAGAGAGAGATTGCAGTGGGGGAAGGGTCCAAAGGAGAGGGAGAAACCCAAGCAGATTCGGCACAGAACATGGAGTTCAAGAGGGGGTTCCATATCAGAACCCTGAGGTCATGACCTGAGCCAAAACTCAGAGTTAGATGCTTAACCAAATGTGCCACTCAGGAGCCCGCCCCTGGTTTTTTTAAAATGGTATATTAAATATGATTAATGGCTGGTGAGAAGAAGCCAGCACAAGAGAGGTCAAAGATATAGAAGAGGAATAACAAAACATAGTCTCAAGAGAAGAAAGAGACTGTGGCATTCAAAACAAGGACAAAGAGGGGTACCTGGATGTCTCAGTCCATTAAGCATCCAACTTGATTTCTGCTCAGGTCGTGATCTTGAGTTTGTGGGATTAAGCCCCATGTCAGGCTCCGCACTCAGCGGGGAATCTGAGATTTTCTCTCTTTCTCCCCTCCCCCGCCCCTCCTTTCTGCTTGCACACGCACACGCTCTAAATGTATAAATGAAATCTTTAAAACAAACCCCAAAAAAAAGACAGGGATTCTTTTTAGAAAGAGCAACCCTTCCCACTTTATAGGGAGCGAAAGAGGAAAAGTAGATGCAGTGCAGGTAAGTGTGTAGGTATTAAGTCCAGGGGAGTTGCAATCTAATGGCTTCTATTATCTGTGAAGTAGGAGGCTGAGCCCTCTGCTAAGTATGGCAGAAGAGGCAGAGAAATGGAAAAGGTTGAGAAGAGTTAGAAAAGCACTGAAATGGACTCTCGGTAGAACAAGAGATCGACCTGAATAGAGAAACAAAGAAAAACTGCCTAAAAGTGTTTAAGGCCAAGCTGAAGCTGGAAACCTGGTTATGCTACAGGTTATGGGAATACAAAGTTCGCTAAGGCAAGATAATCAACAATTAACTATTTTAATTAACAGAGTAAGTTTCTTAAAACTGTCATGAGCGAAAGATATTTATGTTTATATTTATTTATAAATATATATTTATATTCTAATATATTTATATATGTGATATATATGTATACTTATATATATAAATATATATTTATATTTATATTGAGTCAAGTGAAAATAAAAATAATGTAAAAATTGATTTCAAAGAAACCATGCCATAGAAAAAGCAATATTAACCTTAGCAAAAAACGAAACACAGAACATTTTTGAGTGTGATCTACTCATTTCAGCCGCTAGGGAGCATGTGGCAATGTCTGAAGATAATTGTGGTTGTCATAAGTTGGGGGAGGGTGCTACTGGCACCAAGTAGGAAGAGGCCAGCTGTGGCTGCTACACATTCTACAATTCACAGGATAGCTCACAGTAGAACATCGTATGGCTTCAAATGTCAACAGTGATGAGATAGCAAAACCCTGCTTTAAAAGTATGATTCCATTTGTGAAGAATCTAATTCCTTAAGACTATTAATAGGTTCATACCAACCCCAAAATGATTTCGTTAGCCTCACGGGGTAAGTTGAAGGCACAGCTGTGCTAGAGATCCATGACCCTATTCCTAAGGTTACTATACCCTTAGGACTTCAAGTCAGGGGATTCCTTTTCGAGCTTAATAATCTTTCCCTACAGAACATTTAGAAATGACTACATGGGGGGGGCGCCTGGGTGGCTCAGTGGGTTAAAGCCTCTGCCTTCGGCTCAGGTCATGATCCCAGGGTCCTGGGATTGAGTCCCACATCGGGCTCTCTGCTCCGCGGGGAACCTGCTCCCTCTCTCTCTCTCTGCCTGCCTCTCTGCCTACTTGTGATCTCTGTCTATCTAATAAATAAATAAAATCTTAAAAAAAAAAAAAAAAAAAAAGAAATGACTACATGGGGTTGAATAGCATCCCTCCATATCCTCATTTACCCAGAACCTCAGAATGTGACCTTATTTGGAAATAAGGTTTTTGCATATATAATTAGTTAAGTTATGGTGAAGTTACACTGAATTAGGGTGGGCTCTAAATCCAGCGACAAGTGTCATGATTCGGAGGACATGTAAAGGCAGACACGCAGGGAAGAAGGCCATGTGGTAATGGAAACAACTGGAGTGATCCACGTGCAAGCTAAGGAATGCTGATGATTGCCAGCAACCATCAGAAGCTAGGAAAGAGGCAAGCAAAGATTCTTCCCTAGAGCTTTCAGAGGGAGCATGGCCCTGCTGATACCTTGATTTTGGATTTCTGGCCTCCAGAACCATGACAGAATAAATTTCTAGGAAGTCACCCAGTTTGTAGTGATTTGTTAAAGTAGCTCCAGGAAACTAATACAAGGACTATGGTGACTTGCTCCATTATCTTTTAAATTTTGAGATGCCACAAGTCTGTCAAAATTGTTAAAGGACAAACTTGTGTAAGACACGATCATAGTAGTTTAATCCATATCCTGGCAGTAAGACTGAACACCATGCAATAGAGCAAAATTAAAAGAATACATTTTAAAAACAGAACCAAAAAACTTGTCTAATGGTGCCCTCTTCTGGATGAGAAACTAAGAGCAGTAGATTATTTTGATGGCACAGAATTATGTGTGTTTTTTAAGATTTTATTCATTTGAAAGAGAGAGCACACAGCACGTGCACAAGCAGGGAGAGGAGCAGAGGGAGAGGGAGAAACAGACTCCCCCCTGAGCAGGGAGCCCGAGATGGGGCCCGATTGCAGGACCCTGGGAACATTACCTGAGCCAAAGGCAGATCCTTAACCAACTGAGCCATCCAGGCGCCCCAGTGGCACAGAACTGTAAAACTTTATGTGCTATTCCCCCTGTGGGAGTGAACTCCTATGCATCAAATACCACTGCTGGTGAGACCATGGGATCACGAGATGAGAACTGGGGGATACAGAGGTAGTAAACTCTGACTATAACTTCAAAACAAAGACCTGCCAGATAAACTAATGATCCTTCAGACAGCCCAATGGCGACCCCACTCAACACTTCACAGAGAAAGAAACAAAATTCCAGAAATGTTAGCAATCTGTCCAAAGTTTTACGCAGCTATTTAAGGGCAGAACAAAGGCTAGATCTCAATTTTCCTTAGTGTTCATTCAAACGTGAATTTACTATACCTTTTAAGGAAGGTACATGATATGCAAAATATATCTCTAGGACAAACAAATGACTGAATTTGCCTTGAATCCAGAAGTATTAGGTCATCAAGTGTGGCAAACTGAGTATCATTCCCCTCCCGTATGCACACTCCCTATCAGCACCCTCCCATGTGGGGGGGGGGGCTTGCCCCTGTAATTTGCTATGGCCAATAGGATATTGGTAAATATGACCCAAGCCAAGATTTGAAAAGCATTTGTACACTGAGACTTAATCTCTTGCCACGTCTTGCCACGCATGAGATAGGTAAACAAGGCTAATCTGCTAGATGATGAGAGCGCACATGATCAGAGAGATGACCAGAGCCCTTGAAATGGGAGCCCCTGGGTGGCTCAGTGGGTTAAGCCTCTGCCTTCAGCTCAGGTCATGGTCTCAGAGTCCTGGGATCCAGCCCCACATCAGGCTCTCTGCTGAGCAGAGAGCCTGCTTCCCCCTCTCTCTGCCTGCCTCTCTGCCTCCTTGTGATCTCTCTCTCTCTTTGTGTCAAAAAAATAAATAAAATATTAAAAAAAAATGTGAGCAAGTCTAACCAGGATGTCTGGCACTGATCATTGACAGTGAATTCAGATGGGAACCATAAAATGGCCACCTATGCCCAACCCCAAACGGCCAGATTACAGAATCATGAGCTGTATTAAAAAAAACAACTATGTTCTCTGGTGATTTTGTATGCAGCAAAACCCAATGAATAGACGAAATCCAATTTCTCTATAACATCTAAACCACTATAAGCAACTTATTTGCCTTCACAGTATACATAAAACATGCTTGCTAAATGTCTTTCATGACCACCATTTTTTTTTTTTTAAAGATTTTATTTATTTATTTGACAGAGATCACAAGTAGACAGAGAGGCAGGCAGAGAGAGAGAGACAGAGGAGGAAGCAGGCTCCCCGCCAAGCAGAGAGCCTGATGTGGGGCTCGATCCCAGGACCCTGGGATCATGACCCGAGCTGAAGGCAGAGGCTTTAACCCACTGAGCCACCCAGGTGCCCCATGACCACCATTTTTAATAGCTCACTGTTATCCGTTAAGTGGAGAGAATATGTTACACCATGCTTTTTCCCAGACTAACTGGAAGCCTCTTTTGCCTATCAAGTTCAGAGTAAGTTTTTAACAAAGCTTTAATAGCACTGAAGCTCAGAAAAATCTCCTCCTTGGTGGCATCATTCCTCCACCTTACTCCCATCAGTCAACAAAAAAGTAGCATATATCAGTAAAATGTGTCCCCAGGGTTAAAATAAATAGGCCATAATTTAAAAAACTTTTCATACCTGCAATATTGCAGAAAAGCAGCTTTTAACAGTTTGGTTTTATCCTCCTGGGCTATGGTTTCATTCTTTGTAGAAGGCTCAAAAACCATACTCTGTCAAATAAAAAAACTGTAATTTAGAGGTGAAGGTATCAAAATATTCTGAATTCTTGGACAAAAAAACCAGACCCACCTTTGACAGCAACAACACAGACACATAGCTGTTTACCATGTTCTTTATACCAGCAGTTTACTTAAGACATTTACTAAAACAAGATAAAATGGACTAAATACCTTATCAAAAAGGTATATATATAACCAAAGAAATCCTGAAAAATAAAAAACTGGAGGAGGTATCAAGTTATACCACAAAGGTATCCCAGGTACCAAGTTATACCACAAAGCTGTAGTAATCCAAAGTACGGTACTGGCATGAAAACACACAGATCAGCGTAACAGATTAGAGAGCCCAGAAATCAATGCACAATTGTATGATCAATTAATCTTTAACAAAGGAGGCAAGAATATGCAGTGGAAAACAGGCCATTTCTTTAACAAACAGTGTTGGGAAAACTGGACGGCTATAGGCAAAATACATCTGGACCACTTTCTTACCCTACACACAAAAATAAACTCAAAATGTGATTAAGGACCTAAATGTGAGACCTGAAATCATAAAAATCATTGAAGAGAGCAAAGGCAGTAGTTTCTCTGACATTGGCTGCAGCAACATTTTTCTAGATAGGTCTCCTAAAGCCAAGGAAACCAAAGTAAGTTATCCTAAATCCTTATCTTCTATAATAGGAAATCAACAGATGCCTAATATTGGTGAATTAAGAGATGGCAACATATGGTATTACTTAGAAATATGGAGAAAATACCAGCAAAAACAGATAAAAGACTGAAAAGGAGCTGCTTCTGGAAAGGACAGAGGAGATGAAGGAGGTAAAAGAATTATGTTTTCATCACAACTCTTAAAACTGTTATTCTAAAACATTTGTGGGAAACACCCTGACAAAAATCTTAAAATCTTATGGAACCACATTACCTCATTGCTGGGTCCAGCAACTGAAGATGCTAGGGAATCTTCAAGGTCTTCTGCTAATATAGACACACCCTCCCTTGAAGTAATAGACACCAACCCACTGTTTCTAGAAAAAAGGATAGGAAAACCACCGCAGGAACCAGCTCCTAAAATACTATCTCCTAAAAGAAAGAAAAATACACATACATAACAAAAAAATGCTTTCTAAAATCTACCGCCCTAAGCAAAAAATCATCATCTTGATACACTAAGAACTTTTTTTTTCCTTTACAATAATCCTCCTACTTTGAACTCAGCTTTTTAAATCTAGATCAAATGTCGGGAACCTGTTGCTATTTGAAATACCAGGCTCTGTGTCATTCGGTTTGGGGACAACAAAAACAAGTCTTGCAAGATAGCAGTGGGTATGATAAGCCAAAAAAGAAAATTATTCATTCTGCAAAACTCAGAATGACAGCTTTTTAATCCAATGGAGTCCTCTTGCCCTCTTTCTGTATTTACTGAGTAGGTCAATGGAGATGGGGAAAAAGTCTGTTTGCTCAATTCCTTATTAACATTCTCCCTACCCAAAGTCAAGGTTCTTGTGTTAAAACTAGAAAATCTAGGTTCCATCCTGTTGCCTTGCTTGGATTTTGCCCTCTGCTCAGTCTCTTTATCCTGATTAGACTGCTTGTTTTGCTTTTATTCACTCCTGGCTGGCTCCCCCATCCTTGGCCACCATTCCAGCCCCCCTGCGTGAGTCCAGTACCCAGGATTCTTCTTAGCCAGGAGTCTGGACAAACTTACTTAAAGAACATCAACTCAGGATAAATTAGTCTATCTAGGAATAAGCAGTTACTTCTCTTAGTGTCAATTCTTTGTTTCCTGGCCCCTTATAGGGGAAAATATTACTATCTTTTGCCCAAAAATGTAAGAGTTGGGGAATTTTACTACCCTTTTGGTTTTTCAGTAGGGTTGTGACGTCAGCTACTACTGCTGTGGTAGTGAATGTCTAAATAACACCTGGGGGTAGCATACTTAACACTTATGGAAAGAGAATAAAAACTGCTAAGAACGACTAACAAGTCATTAATCACCCTTTCTAAAACTGATACTGTACCTTGTGTATTAAAGACAATTTTCTCCCTAGGAAGAGAAAACTTCCCAGTTCCAGTGGCACACACGTAGACAGCACTTTCAGTATACAGATAGGCAGTCTGATTTGAAAAGTTTGGGACCATCAACCGACACATAATCAAGTCTTCAGACTGAAAATTAAATGTCAGATTATGTTTAACGATAATTAAAACAAAAATACTTGCCTGCATAATTTTGTAACTTGTATTTTTATACACTATCTCATAAAAGTGACACAATAATTCCGACTGTCCTTGTCAAAACCTAAATACTACTCTTGGGATGATTTACAAAATATGATGTAAGTTTATAAACAATTAGAGAGAAATCATTTGTTGAGTTGTAAATAATCAGCAAATTTTGAAAATTACATGATGGTAAGAGTCTAACTAAAAGCCTATAACAAACATGAGAAAAGAAATTAAAAGACTGATTTATTTTATTACTAATTTAAAATTGGCAAATACTTTGTAAGTGATCCCTGGTGAACATTTTGGTTCTTACTTCACTGTAAAGATACCAAGCACAAGAAAATTGAATTAATTTGTTTATTTTATATATAAATTAATTTGTATATATATAAATTATATGTATATATATTAATATATATTTTATATATAAAATAAATTGTTTATATTAGCAGAAACAGAAATATGAAATTAAATGAATTAAATGAAATCAGCAAATGTTAAATATACTGTTTATTATTAAAGAAGTAATTTTATAAATTTTTAAATAAATTTATAAATTTATATTTTTATATATTTGTATTTTTATAATTTATAAAATTTTTAATTTTATAAATTCTTTATTTATTAAAGAAGTAATGTTATAAACAAAACATTAAAAAGTGGTATTCCATAATGTTTGTATTCTGAAACTGTTTTCTTTACGTCTCTTTTGCACTGCCTGAAAAATCTTATCACTGAGCATGTTTTTCTTGCATAATCAGAACTGTAAGGTTTGTATGAAATAAAAGGACAAATTAAATGACTTCTTTACAGTATTTAGTTACAATCACATTAAGAATAAGGATTTAAAAAAATAAAAGTAAAATGTTTTAAATATTAAAAAAAAAAGAATAAGGATTAACAAAATTAGGTACTATATGGTATAAGGCTAAATGAAATGAATTTACACTTTAAGGCTTTGTCTTTGTCTTATGAACATCCCCATTATTCAACAGTACTTACAACATTAAACAACTGCTTGCCGTCAGCTGCTTCCACTCTCATTTCTCTTTAGCTAAGGTTGTCCAAAGTAACGAGTCTAAGATGGCAAACAAAATGCAATGCCTAAAAACCGGCCATCTGAAAGCATCTCAAGCCCTCCAAGTAAATCTCTCAGAAGAATCTGAGCCTACAACAGTTAGGAGAACAACGCAGTACATTCTTGTCCTCTGTAGTTCACTTCACTCTTACCTGAAAAGGTGGATTGCACTGAGTGACTTCCACAGTTACTGCATCAGACATTTGGTGGCCATTATCTTCTACCGTTATCAGAGAGTAATAGATGAGACATGGATTGTCTGCTGGGTGCCATGCGGCTGCCAAAATCAGGAGCCCATCACTAATCAATGGAAAAGAAAGATCTACAGCCTCTTGGAAGTCAGTTTGTCAGTTTCTTATATAGTTAAATACATACTAACCATATGCCCTAGCAATCCCACCCCTAGATATTTACCCAAGAAAAACAAAAACTTACGTTCACACAAAAACCTGTGTGCAAATAGTTATAGCGGCTTTATTCACAATCACCTAAAACTGGAAGCCCAATATCCTTCAACTGCTGAATAGATAAATCCCGGTAATTTTTTTTTTTTTTAAGATTTTATTTATTTATGTGGCAGAGAAAGAGAGAGAGAGAACACAAGCAGGGGGAGCAGCAGAGGGAGAGGGAGAATCCGGCTCTGTGCTGAGCAGGGAGCCTGATGCAGGACCCTGGGATTATGACCTGAGGCGAAGGTAGATGCTTAACCAACTGAGCCACCCAGGCTCCCCTGGTAATTTTTTTTTCAAGACTTTGAGAGAAGAGAGTGCAAGTGGAGAGGGGGCAGAGGAGGAGAGAGAATCCCAAGCAGACTCTGAGCTGAGCACGGAGCCCAAGGCAGGGCTCAGTGCCATGACCCTGAGTTCATGACCTGAGCTGAAATGAAGAGTTGGGACATTTAACCAACTGAACCACCCAGGCACCTCAAGCCCTGGTAATGCTACACAGTGTGCACTACTCAGTAAAAAGGAAGAAACTGCTGAATGAACATCAAATGCATTGTGCTAAGTGAAAGAAGGCAGTCTCAACAGGTTTTATATTATATGATCCCATTGACAGGGCATTCAGAAAAAGACAAAACAACAGGGACTGAAAACACATCAACAGTTGCCAGGGTTAAGACTGAAGGAGGCTTTGATTACAAAGGGATGCAAGGAAGTGTGGGGGGTGATGGAACTATTTCATATTGCGATTGTGTCTCACGGTCAAATGAGTCTGCATCTGTCAACTCATTATACACTAAAACAGGTGAATTTTACCGTATATAAAATATAGCTCAATAAATCTGACTTTAAAAAAAATCAACAAATCATCAAATGCAGGACTGACAAAGCATAGCCCTCAGGCCAAACTGTGCTCAAGCAAGTTTTTATAAATGAAGCTTTACTGGACTGCAGCCAGGCCCACTCATTTCTGCACAGCCTATGGATGCTTTCATGCTATCACTGACAGAGTAGAAGAGATGCAGTGAAGACCACATTGTGGGCCCTTCAAAGAAAGGCTGCCAAACCCCGACCTAATTTGTTCTTTAGAGCTTACTTTGGTCCAGAGGAACATCTTGTTTTTAACAATCAGTTGCAGAAATTTCAATGTGAAAACAAACCTTTTTCTATCTTAAAGCTTATGTTTCTCGTAAGTCTATCAAAATTGTTGCCCTCAACAAAGAATTACATGGTCTCTAATCTCAAGCCCTCCAAAATATTCAGTAGTATTTATTATTAGCAACTTTCATTCAAGTCTCAGAAATATTAATGGGGTGTTGGGAGGGGCAGGGAGCAAGCGCCCTCTACTGACAACTAAAAACAAGAAACCGGAAAAAAAAATGAAACCCAGCGACTGACTAAATGACATCACTTCAAATCGAGCAATCTGAACATGGCTCTCGTTTCTTTTTCCACTGTGATCTTCACCAGCTCCTGAACCCTTATCACTCCTACTCAGACTCCTGAAAGGAATCCAACAATACTAGCCCAAACTTATAATGGACTGGCAGTGACCTAAAGAGCTAATACCGGATATAGAAGAACGTTATGCATAAAAAATAACTAATGGACTAAAGACCTAAATGTGAGATCTGAAACCATAAAACTCCTAAAAGAAAACAGGCAGTGATCTCTAGGACATCAGCCTTAACAACATATTTATGGATATGTCTCCTCAGGCAAGAGAAACTAAAGCAAAATCAAACTCCTGGGGTTACACCAAAATAAAAAGCTTTTGCACAGCAAAGGAAATGATCAACAAAACAAAAAGGCAACCTAATGAATGGAATTCCAAAAGTGATATATCTGATAAGCGGTTAATATCTAAAATAACGTAAAGAACTTACACAACACCACACCACCCCCAAATAACCCAATTTAAAAATGGGCAGAGGCCCTGAATAGATGTTTTTCTAAAGAAGACATACAGGTGGCTAGGAGACACATGAAAAGATGCTCAACATCAGTAATCATCAGGGAAATGCACAAAATCACAATGAAATATCACCTCACACCTGTCGGAATGGCTAAAATAAAAAGGACAAGAATTAACAAGTGCTGGTGAGGATGTAGAGGAAAAAGGAGCCCTCACATTCTGTTGGTGGGAATGCAAACTGGTGAAGCTGCTATGGAAAACAGTATGGAGGTTTCTCAAAAAATTAAAAATTGAAATACCGCATGATCCAATAACTCCACTAGCTGGGTATTTATCCAAAGAAAACAAAAACACTAATTTGAAAATATATATGTACCCCTATGTTTGTTGCAGCAACAGCTGAGACATGTAAGCAACCCGAGTACTCATCAACAAATGAATGGATAAAGACACAGTGTGCGCGCGCACACACAGACACACAGGAATACTACTCAGCAAAAAAGAGTAAGATCTTGCCATCTGTGACAAAATGGATGGAACTAGAGTATTATGCTAAGTGAAGTAAGTCAGACACAAAAAGACAAATACCATATGACTTCCCTTTTACGTGGAATCTTAAAAACAAAACAAACAATCAGAAAAGCAAAAGAAGACTCTTAGCTGCCAGAAGAGAGATGGCTGAGGGGATGGGTGAAACAAAGTGCTTTAACAGGTATAAACTTCCAGTTATAAAATAAACAGGTCACAGAGATGAAAAGTACAGCCAAAAAGACCAGAAAAAAAAAAAAAAAAGAAAAAAGAAACCAAGTGAGGTCCCAGAGAATGTGATCTTGAATGTACCAAGGAGGGAGGCAGAGTTGGTCGTACCTATGATAAGGCTCTATACTGAAGTTACTCTAAAGACTGTATATTGGGTGATAAGGGGTGCCACGAAGTCATGGAGACGTGTCTAACAGAATTTCTTAGAGTAGTGCTAGAACAGTTTTATTTGACATCTATATAAAAACATCTTCACGTTTGGAAAAAACATGAAGCTGTTTTAGGTAGTAGAGATGATAGGTAGATACTCTAAATTTTGAAAACCAATAAAAATTTAACAATAAATTTTTTATTTATTGTTAAAAATTTAAAAACAGGGTGCCTGGGTGGCTCGGCTGGATAGGCCACTGCCTTCAGCTCGGGTCATGATCCCGGAGTCCCTGGATCAAGTTCCACATCGGGCTCCCAGCTCCGCAGGGAGTCTGCTTCTCCCTCTGACTTTCTGCCCTCTCATGCTCTCCCTCACTCTCTCTCAAATAAATAAATAAAATCTTTTAAAAAAAAAATTTAAAAACAGGGACGCCTGGGTGGCTCAGTGGGTTAAAGCCTCTGCTTTCGACTCAGGTCATGATCCCAGGATCCTGGAATCAAGCCCCGCATCAGGCGCTCTGTTCAGCGGGGAGCCTGCTTCCTCCTCTCTCTCTCTCCCTCTGCCTGCCTCTCTGCCTACTTGTGATCTTTGTCTGTCAAATAAATAAATTTAAAAAAAAAATTTAAAAATGAAAAATTTATTGTTAAATTTTTACATGAGTATATACAAAACAATACACTTAAGACTTAAAAAATCCAACTTCACATCTAAAATGAGGCTCTCTGAGCTCTGTGTAATAATCTAGTAAAAGAACTTGTAAGCCTGTTCCATGAACATATATGCCAGGTTACAAACCTGGCCAACACAAGCAAAAGATCAAGGAGCATCAGTGAGCATCAAGAAGACGGACAGTATTCTTAAATAGAAGAAACGTATGCAGATACAGACACCATATGATCACTAGACGGTCCAGAAGGAGAACAAGAGCTGCGTCTTTCAAGTCCCACAAGCACCTTGCTAGCATGACAACAATGGAGGAGACGAGCCCGGGCTCTGACCCAGTCCAGAAATTCTTAAGCATGTTTCTCTTCTGTTTTCAGTCCACATCTCTGTTCCGAAAACTATGTGAAAAAATGTCTGCATCGCATAACCACGTGGGCTGTGTCCCAGCAGCAGTAATTTTTTTTTTAAGATTTTATTTATTTGACAGAGAGAGACAGTGGAAGAGGGAATACAAGCAGGAGTGGGAAAGGGAAAAGCAGGCTTTCCACAGAGCAGGGAGCCTGATGCGGGACTCGATCCTACTACTGCGACCCTGGAATCATGACCTGAGCCAAAGGCAGATGTTTAACGACTGAGTCACCCAGGTGCACCCTAGCAGTAGTCCTAAATTCCTGAAAGTCTGGTAAAGATACATGAAAACACATAAACTATATTTAATTAAACCACTTGTGGAAATTAAACACATGCTATTTCTACCTCTTTGATAGTTTATGTAAGGTTTTCAGAAACTATAAAGAAGGATCTTACTGATATTCTCAAGAGCCTAAGAAAAATTATACAGCAGAACTGCAATATCCTTCCAAAAAAACAAGTAGAATTTGTTCTACTAAATAAATTGCTCTAGGGGCGCCTGGGTGGCTCAGTGGGTTAAGCCTCTGCCTTTGGCTCAGGTCATGATCTCAGGGTCCTGGGATCGAGCCCCGAGTCGGGCTCTCTTAGCGGGGAGCCTGCTCCTCCACCTCCCCCACCTCTCTGAGTAACTTGTGATCTCCCTCTCTCTGTCAAATAAATAAATAAAATCTTTAAAATAAATAAATAAATAAATAAATAAATAACTCTAAAACACAAAAATTGCTCTTAACTTCTGGTATGTTGTGTTTTGAAGAATTACAAGTCATATATAACATGGAAGCCATGTTATAAATGGTTTTTAAGTTCCATATGACCTTTGGTATTAAAATTAAATAATAACACAGGATAACTAACCTAGGATTTATCAGACTAACCTAGGATATTAAGTGCCACTTAGAGCACCATTTCTAAGAGGAAATTCACTGTGAATTTAAACCCTGAGTGAGTTCTCACTTGTACTGCCAAGACAAAACCTCACCCCACTTTCGCCACAAACATAAGCTTACTAAAGCAAAAAGGCTGGAGAAGAATGCCTGGTATGGCCACTGAGAAGAGAAGGATGACAGCAGGGGGCACCCGCAGCAGCAGCAGCAGGGAGGGCATCTCTTAGTGTGAAGAGAAGCTCCAGCCATAAGAGCAGGAAAGATGAGTCTCGAACTAGGGCAGACAACTAACGTAAGAATATGCAGGTGAGGGCTGAGAACTGCCTATATTTCTCAAATCAACCAGCATCTCTAGAAAAGGACACAAAGCCTTTCAGTAAGGATGAAAGTATGATGCGAACAGCATTAGAAGAACAGACGGCAAGACTGATCATCATTTTACAATAAACATTAGTTTCCCAAATAGCTCCCTGTATTCTTGAGGACAAGCTAACTGCTTACCAGTTTTGCTTCAAATCCAAATACCGAATGTTGACCCCTTCTTTAATAGCTTCATAGTTACTTTCAGATCCCTATATGAAAACACCAATAACAAAGCTCCATGAGTATAAGGATCATTGCTTTTCACCTTTGTATTCCCAGCACCTATTAAACAGTTCAAAGTTGCTGAATAAATAATATACGCATTTTTAAAGCTACTAAGTAAATCAGTGAACTCCAGTATTTCTAAGGCTTGAACTCCCTATTTTTGCTTATCTGATGACTAAAAGCTACACTGCATTGAAATGTGTTCTAATAAATAAAATAATTAAAGAAACTAGCATTCTTATCTAATCAAAATGTGAATTGCAAAGATGAATATTATTTTTCCTTACCCAAATAGCATCAGTAATGTTTTCCTTCAGGACTCTATTTAGATCCCAACTATGTGCCTGTTTTTCTGAAGAATCATCCAATTCCCATTTACTGATGTTCGAACTTGTCAGGCTATAAAAGCTTGCTCTCTCTCTATCCCAAAGGACACTTGAAAGCTGTATGGAGAGGAGAGAAGAAAAAAGTTACATTTACAGATTTTTAAGTTCTAATGTGAAGGAACTACTTTTCTGAAATTCAAATTTATATGTTTTATAAGTATTCCATTAGTAATCCTGGCGGAATTCTTTATTTAGTATTCCAGAAAGGAGTGATCCTAAAATGAACCTTGAAAGCAAAGTAAGATTTCTAGAAATATAAAAGCAGACAGCCCACAAAGAGTACAGTTGTGGGAAAGTTACGAGGCCTTCCAGAGAACAAGCAGTCCTGTTACACTGGAATCTAGACTATAGCTAGAAAAGGAGGAAAAATAATGCTCAAATGAAAAATTAGGGACACACAGCAGAGTCCTGCATGTGAATTTGTAAACCTAGTAAACAAGGTATTATCAATGGCTTTTGAACTCAAGAGGTGTGTTGGAGGAAAAGGAATGTGGCAAGTTATATGTAGATAGATTATTCTGCCTTTTCAAGTATATATTGGTTATGAAGTACAGTTGTGTTTTTAGTTGGGCACACGATTGTTTTGAGTTAAAGCCCTGATTTTCTCCATTTCTCCTAGCACCATGATTCTGGCCACTAATGGGTTAGAGAGCCATCAGAGAGTAAACTGAACTGCCACCCAGGGCTTAGGGGAAATTCACCAAGAGTGCAGATTAGGGCATAACAATGGAAGCAAAAGGTAGGGATGAAAATGAGACATATTATAAGTCAAATCTATAGTATCTGTTAAGTACGGAATCTGCTATAGAAGGGAGGTGTGCATACACACACCCACCCACACACACACACTGGAGAGTTTATACTCAGGTCACTGAAAACAGTGACAGGGTCATGAACAGAAATTAACAGGCCAAAAGAGAAACGAGCTTTATATACACTTTTGGTGTAGCAAATGTGAGGGAAGAGGGAATATGAGCAATTTGTTTTCAGACATATTAGGTTTTAGGTCCTTAGACCATCAGGAAAGCAGATGGCGAGAGCAACCCGCAGTTAGAAGGAAACAGCGCAGCGAGAAGAAAATGTGCTTTCCACTCAGAGGCCCGGGCACTTATCTGCCACAGAGTAGCCGTGCAACGTCAGGCGGTTTACATAAATGTCACCGAGGCTGTTTGCTCATCCGCAAACTGGGGAGAAAGCACTCTGCGTTACAGGGTATCACAGTTATTGCTCAAAATAACAAATATAGAGCCTCTAGCAGAGAGGACATGCTCCAGGTTTGCTGCCATCTGCCTCCCTTCGCTGTGCCAGAGCCTGAGGCAGAAGCCCGGCCGACAGATCCAGATTCGAGTCATCCACACAAACAGCTGGAGTCATGGGAGTCGAGAACACTTTCCGTTAAGTCAAAAAGCAAAACTGGTCCTTAAACACAATTTTATATAATAGCAGTTTATATATTTTTATATATAATTTTATGTAACAATTTTACATAACAGTTTTAATCCAAAGAATGTACATGTAAGAGAATCTGTATGATTTAAGAATATTAAATTACAGGGTTTGTGAGAGTTCGTATGAACTCATTTGATCACAATAAAAATGCTTCACTGAAACCATCAAAGGTTTTACTTCCTATATATTAGTATTCATACGGAGACAATACCAACTTCATAGGAAACCTCCAACTTACTGATTTCACGAAGAAACAAGCTTGTAAAACAAAATCATTTTATCAACTTACAATGAGATCACTACTGGGAGATAAAATTCCCAAAAGAGAAGAAACCTTCCGACCAATTCCTGAAAGCATCCCTTGTCCTTGAGGCAGAATGTGTTGATGAATCTTTCCTAAACTATCAGGTATCAGCCGAACCAGCTGGCTTCCCGATGAAGACAAAATAAAACTTCCTCCCTATGAACAAATATTGTGAAATTAGTGACGCATCTATAACTAAGATAAAGAGCATTAACACAAAATGCTTTGATATAGAAACAAGTCATCATCTGTACCTTAAAACAAATCTAAAAGAATTTAAAAAAAAAGTATCATTTTACTAAAATGATTTACTTACAAATACTATAACATGTTACTAAGATATGATACTATTAATTTTACATAAATTTTAGTTGTTTTTTTAATTGGGTGTTTCCTTAATTCTGATTTTTAAAATACAGGTTCACCACACCACAGGTTCAACAAATCAAGTATCACATTTTATTCTTTGGTAAACTTGCAAAGTGTACATTATAATGCAAGCCATTCTTCCTAATGTCTAAGGGTTTCTAAGTCACCGTCAGGAAATATTTCTGAAAGAAATGAATACCATGGGCTAGGATTCAATACTGGTATTTCAGAGTCCTAGGAAAAGGGCTTTCCTTTGTCCAACCGCTTAACTCCTAGACCCTTACATTCTTCTCTTGCCTCTTTCTGATTCCTCTCTGGCTGTATGGTCTATCCAAAACAACTTTTACTCATTCACATCTCACTCCAAGGCAAATCACAGCTTTCCAATAAATATGAAAGAAAATCCATCACATACCTGCACTGCTGTTAGGAAACTGTAAGTCTTATCACCTCCCAAATCTACAAAGGTCTCCATGTAGGTATCTTCACCAGCAAGCCTTGGCCAGTAGCGGATGGATCCTTCTCTGGTGGCAACCATGACAGCAATAGCCTTCAAACAAGATCATAACACTCGGCAATTACAGTAAAAAGGTGTGTCTGGTGTGTCTGGTGACACTGATAAAAACAAACTAGAGCAATTTATTATTTGATTTACAGAAATTAGGGGGGACATAACCCTTCCTGTTTATATTTAAACATCATCAGACTATAAAATTTACTTTCTTTTCCTTTTGTTGTGCAGTTTTAGTAATTTTAACACCTGTATAGACCTAGGTAACTACTACCCAGATAGGTACACAGCACAGTCCCATAAACATCCCAAACTCCCTCGTGCTAACTATCACTTTATAATCACACCTTTTCCCCATCTTAACCCTGGCAATTGGCCAATTCCATCATTATAGTTTCATCTTTCTGAGAATGCCAAGTAAATGAAATCATACAGAATGTAACCTTTAAGCACTGGCTTATCTCATTTCAGCATGTCTCTGATCTGGGTTGTTGCTGTATAAAGAATTCATTCCTTTTTACTGTTGCATAGTAGTCCATTCTATGGATGAAACCCATTTCTTTATTCATTCACTTGTTAAAAGGACATTTGAGTTGTTTCCACCTTTGGCTATCACAAATAAAGCTGTTATGACAATCATACACTGTTTTTTGTGTAAACTTTTAAGTTTTAATTTCTATGAGGTAAATAGCTAGGAATGGAATTGCCAGGAAAGTAAAAATCAAGTAGCTGTGCCATTTTGCATCCCATCAGGAATGTGGGAGTTCCAGTTGCTCCACATCCTTGCCGGCACTTGGCAGGGTCAGTATTTTGTATTTTGACCATTTTAATCCGTGTACTGTGATAGCTCACTGTCATTTCAGTATGCATTTCCCTAATGGCCAATGATGTGAACACCTCTGACACCCTTATATCTTCTTTGGTAAAGTATCTGTTCAAATCTTGTGCTCTGTTTTGAAATTGGGTTGTTTTCCTATTAAGCTTTGAGAGTTCATTTTACATTCTAGATACAAGTTCTTTCTTGGATATAGGACTTAGGAACATTCTCTCCCAGTCTGTAGCTTGTCTCTTTTCTTGTCACTGTCTTTGACAGAGCCAAGTTTTTAATTTTGATGAAGTCCAATTTACCTATTTTTTACTTTTGTGAATCACGCTTTTGGTGATTTCCAAGAACTCTTTGTCTAATCCTAGGTCATGATGATCTTCTCCTGCTTTCTTCCAAAAATTTATAGTTTTATGTTTTAGATCTAAATCTAATCTATGATCCCTTTTGAGTTAATCTTTGTATAAGATAGGAAGTTTAGGGGAAAACTCTTTTTTTTTTTTTTTTTTTTTTGCATAAGGATGATCAATGGTCCCAACACCATTTACTGAAAAGACTATCCTTACTCCACTGAACTGCTATTGCAGCTGTCACAGATCAAAGGCCACCTCTGTATCAGCATTCTCTATGTGTCTATCTGCCAATACTAGTGTCTTGACTCCTGTGGCTTTACGGTTATGTGTCTGAATCAGGTTGGATGATTCCTCTAATATTAGAACTCCCTTATTTTAAAAAAATCTATATTTCAATAAGCACTTAAGTCACCTACCTGAGTAGAATGTGCTTCACCTGCAGTATCAGGATAAGAGAGAGCCACCAAGTCAGCACTCCAAGGGAAGTCACTAGGCGGCAGCTGAAGTTCTTTGCAAACAGATAACTAAAGAAGAAACCCAAACCAAAAATCTTTCACATCAAATCCAAGTTTTTTGAATACGCACCTGACTTCACTATTTTCTTTCCCTGCATATTTCATATTCTCATTCATTGCTGGAAATACCATTCTACAAATATTCTTTTTTCTCTTATCTTTTTCATTAGGGTTTCATCAGGGCTTTCAGTAATTTCAAAACAAAGTATCTTAAGAGATACAGAATCAGGAAAACTTAAGAGGTAGACCAGACCCTGAATATCAACAAGCCCAGTATCTTTCTGGACTAAAAAGATGTGTACTGGTTAAGAGATGTATGTATGGAATTTTCCCAGGCTAGTCTTGATTTGTTTATTTGACATCTAAAATCTTCATGACCACAGAATAACCAATTATACCAAGCTGTCCAGAAAATACTTCTTGGCCTATGCCAGGTATCAGGCTCCTTCTGGTAACTCATCAGGGCCCCCAGGACGTCTCCTTCACCTATGCTCTCAACTACAAATTCTATTTTCGGGGCAGCACCAGTATGGAGACCACAGATGTCAAGAGTTTAGGTAAGCACGAGTCCCCAGTTCCAACAGAACAATGGCCCAGTGACAACAGTAACCAGTGACTGGTGCAAGACAGGATGCCTGATATGGAACACAAAAGAAAATAAGTTGCTGAGGATAAGGTCTCAGAAACACAAATGATAATCCTATGTGACCCAGAAATCATGACTTGAGCCAAAATCAAGAGTTAGCTGCTTAACTGACTGAGTCACACAGCCACCCCTCAGTTTTTCCCTATTAAGCATCATTTGGTGGATTTAGTGAAACAGAGTTCTATCTTAGAAATAAATAAACTCAGTTCATTAGGTTAGGTGGACAGCATTTAGTCTTAAACTTCATTAGGTAGACTGAAATGACATTTATAATGTTAATTAAAAATTATAAAGTCTAATGTTATTAAATTGTAAATAACATGGATCTAGTTAAAATTATTAAATGGGAGAAACTTTCCCAACATGAAAATGTATTTGCATGCTCAGTACTCCGTATCATAACAAAAATGCAGAGCCAGGTCTGAGCAGATTCAGATTACTGTACTTTAACAACTCTAAAGCTTTAGGGTAAAAATTAAGAGCCAATGGGTAATCCTCTCCTCTACCTCCTTTTAGCTCCCTAAACAGCAATTACCTTAGTAATAGGTGACAGAGCAATCTTCCAAATAATGAGTTTCTCTTTGCAGACCAGACAAGCCCATCCTCCTTCATCTATGTGAACAGTCAAGTGATCATCAACTAAAAAGAAGAAAAAAAAAGTACGTAATTAAACTTAAAGCATGAATAAGAAAAACTGTTAAAAAAAAAAAAAAAAAAAGAAGGGGCCCTTGGGTGGCTCAGTGGGTTAAGCCTCTGCCTTCGGTTCGAGATTCACGTCATGATCTCGGGGTCCTGGGATGGAGTCGCACATTAGGCTCTGTGCTCAGTGGGGAGCCTGCTTCCCCCCCCCCCCTCTGCCTGCCTCTCTGCCTACTTGTGATCTCTGTCTGTCAAATAAATAAATAAAATCTTTAAAAAAAACAAAAAGAAGAAAAAAAAACCTTAAAATTCCTTATACCAAGATCTTCTTTATGGTTACATTCTTTACAGATGTGTGTGTGTGTAAAAAAGTGATCACCACATAAAAAAATTCATTCACATCAAAAAGTGCTCTTGAGTAATTCAAGAGTTATTAATACCCAAAATAAGAAATCCATTTAACTTTGATAATCACTTTCAGAAATGTATCTGAAGGCAAAAAGTATATTTTGGACTTAGGCTTAATATCTTTTAGTATTGGTTATAATCCAGCATCTTACTTTCTATAATATTTAGTAACATTTGTAATTTTATTTTGATACAACAACACAAATAATAATCTTTCCCAATAAATATATTAAAAAATTTCAAGGAAAATTGTTCCTTCAAAAGAATGTGATTTTCAAATACTTTCCTTAAAGTATGATAAGTACTTTTCAAATACATTCTTTAAAAGTATGATAAAGCACTTCATTATATGCCGACATCAAGGGTTACATTCCATATTTTCTTAAAAGTTATTTATTTTAGAAAGAGAGAGAGCATGCACAAGGAAGGGGCAGAGGGAGGGGAGGAAGAGAATCTCAAGTAGACTCCTCACTAAGTGCAGAGGATGACACAGGACTTGAGCCCATGACCTGAGCTAAAACCAAGAGTCGGCCGCTTAATCAACTGAGCCAGTCACCCAGACACCCGATGGGTTACATTCCATATTAAATGACAAAACTGCATTATTATATTGCTGTCATAAGCACTGGTGGTAAACCTCAGTAAGTGTGTTAGCCCTAGAAATTTAATTAATTTGAGCTTTGCTCTTTGCCTAAAGCCGGGTAGAGGGGCGAGATAAAAGGCATCAATAACGTACAAGCTAAAATACTAACTCACACAGGCTGTGTGGTTTCTGCTGAATTAGCATATCGGCTCAATATTTTCTTTTCCTGAAAGCAACAAAGCAGCTCCAAATACTCTACTGGTAAGTCCTTGAGGTCTCTGACTTCACACACAGCCCTTGGTAGGTTTCCATACAGGGAAAAGTTCTTCCAGTTTAAACACCCCTCAGTTTAAACATCCTAATTTCTAGGGACTCTCTCCTCTGAGGCTGAGTATTATTTGTTACTAAAAGTCTGGTGGCATGAACCTGGAGTATGTTAAAAGGCTTAAATATAATTTAAGCTCAAATTTTTAAAAGAGTAAAGAAAAATGGAAAATATATTATATATATTTAAAACAAAAATAGTGCAGGGCACCTGGGCACTTTCAGCATCTGTCTTCAGCTCAGGTCATGATCCCAGGGTCCTAACCTGCTCAGCAGGAAAGGTGCGATTGCCCCTGCCCCTCCCCCTGCTCATGTGTGTGCTCTCTCTGGTGCATGCTCACTCTCTTGCAAAAATAAATTTAAAAACTTTAAAAAAATAATAAAAACAGTGCATGACAGAAGTTAGTAGAAGTTTAGTTGTCTGCAAACCACTATACCTGAGTTCTCAAGGACTCACAGGCAAGATATGCAAGTTCAGGTTGATGAGAAATATTCCTTGCTAGAACGGAGTACACTTTAACCTTTTTTGACTGTCATTCACGGTATGAAATACCTTTTATATCATGACGCATTCACGTATAATTTAAATAAAACAAACAAGCATCTAACATTATTATATGAAATGCACTCTGATATTCTGCATTCTATTTTTTTAAAATGTTGGCCATGAGCCACTAAACTGATTTCCATTACTACCTGCAGTCTGAAAAACACTGTTCCAGAAAATCACAAAAATCTAGAATTGAATCACAAATAAAGACTACTTGGGAACATCCATGAGGATGCTCTGAACTTTGCTCTCCCAGTCACCCAATCCCTCATCCTTACTGTTGCCTTTCTGACCCTTCTGTGACTGGTTCTTCCGAAGTGCCAATCTGATTCTCTGCCAAGAGAATATTCTAAAGGTACACCACACTGATAACACAAACATGTACATATAACCTCTAGGATACTAACCTCTAGGATCCAGAAATAGAGGTAGTAAGCCTTGACCTTACTGCATTATCACACCCAATAATGTGAGGCAGTGTTTTGGCTTTTTTTAAGCTAAACTTCATACACATGATCAACTTTTGAAATGAGACTGAGTTTTGCATATGCAGTCAAATGTGTGCTAAAGGGGCGCCTGGGTGGCTCAGTGGGTTAAGCCTCTGCCTTCGGCTCAGCTCAAGATCTCAGGGTCCTGGGATCGAGCCCCGCATTGGGCTCTCTGCTCGGCGGGAAGCCTGCTTTCCCCTCTCTCTCTCTGTCTGCCCCTCTGCCTACTTGGGATCCCTCTCTGTCCAAAAAAAAAAAAAAAAAGTGTGCTAAAAATAAACTCATTCTGTTTTTCAAATTTATTACATTTCTCAATTACAGTGAAAACCAAATGTTACCTGTCTCTACCCCATTTAAGTGAAGGGATATCAGACAAAGCACAAATACCAATCTGAGCCAGAGCCAGGCTGCATTTTGAACTGCTAATAGAGGCAAACGGAAAATGACACCTACCTTCAGCCAATGTCAAGGCTTCCATTACTTTAACAGGAAGAGAAGATCCAAATGTTTTCACATCATAGTTCATAGACTCAGTTACACAGTGGTGTGGCAATATTCGTGTAGGTGTTCCTCTAAACAAAAAAGACAACATTCCTTGAACCGTATCTTAAAATTTTCTGTTGTCTTGGGGCATCTGGGTGGCTCAGTCAGTTAAGCGTCTGCCTTGGGCTCAGCTCATGATCCCAGGGTCTCAGGGTCTAACCCAAATTGGGTTCTCCACTCAGTAGGGAGCCTGCTTCTCCCTCTCCCTCTGCCTGCTACTCCCCCTGCTTTCTGTCAAATAAACAAAATCCTTGAAAAACTTTTTTTCCACTATCCTAATTTTTAGGTACATATTTTCACATAAAGAGAAGATCTTTGATAAACAAGAAGAAAGATGAGGTGTAACAGTAAAAAACAAAAACAAAACAAAACAAAAAAACGAAAACGAAAACCAAAACCAAACCAAACAAAAAACAAAACCACACACACAACTCTGGCTCATATGTACTGCATAATACATTTTTTGTTAAAAAAAAAAAAACAGACTGACAGGATCTAGAAAACGGCTTCTGACTCTTATGCTCTAGTAATCAGATGTATGCTCTATTCACTTAAACTCCTTATAACTGCTTCCTTAGCTGTGATATACGAAGGTTGAACTAGATCAGTGTTTTCCAAGTTGTGGATCATTTTGAGGGTCTCAATCAACATTTTTGAAAAACAGAATATAATCTAGAGTTTATTCTACACTGTGGTCAAATAAGCTTTACAAATATTGAATTAGATTATCTTTAAGCTCACATCAGCCTTGGAACTTTTTTTACTGAAGTAGAGTTGACACACAATGTTATATTAGTTTCAGGTGTACAAAAGAGTGATTAGAAATTCTGTGCTATGCTCACAAGTATAGCTACTCTGACACCATGCAACCCCCCCTATTATAACATCACTGATTATATTCCCCATGCTGTGCTTTTCATACCATGACTTGCACATTCTGTAACTGAAAGTCTGTACCTTCCACTCCCTTTCACCCATTTTTCCCTCATCAGCTATAGAATTTTATGAAATCTACCAGATTTTTTTTTAAAGATTTTATTTATTTATTCATGAGAGAGGACCGGGAGGGAGGCAGAGGAAGAAGCAGGCTCCTTGCGCAGGATTCCATCCCAGGACCCCTAGATCATGACCTAAGCCAAAGGCAGACGCTTAACAGACTTAGCCACACAGGCGACCCCAGATTTGTACAAGAAATCAGAATCATGAGTATCTGCTGTTACCTGTTCTTCAACAGCAGATACAGCAGTTGAAATTTTATCTCCTCACCCTGTTAACATTCAAAAAATAATGTAGTTACCAGTATAAAACTTATTCTCTCTCTTATCATGAGGATTAAGTGAGCTTTGTTTCTTGACATACCATTATAACCAAGATTTTTCTTTAAATAATCACTAGAAAGTAAGAAAATATTTTAAAAACACATTAAGTAAAGTACAGCTTTAATTCCCTGACTTTTCTCAAAAGGAGTAGAAAACACTGACAAGATCACCACTTTAAAGAGCACTTTCAAAATGTTAAGTTTCCCTGCAAAACAAAGTTCTTTTAGGGTAGACAAAGTCGGAAGAAACTACTCAGAAACAAGTTACCGCCTAAAGTTCTAGATTAATTATGAAAGGATGGGTGCGGAGCATGACTTAACAGGTGATGTGGACTGATGTGCCACGTTTTTTATATGTTTACAAAATTACTATTCTTAACTCACTGCTATGGAAAGACTTTCGCCTATTAATTTCGCTAGAAAGTTGACGTGTACGGCCAAAACTCCTTTAGTTATCAATCAGAAGATATGAATGACAATAACTCTCTATTAGGCATTTTCCTGGGTTGGAGATGCTCTTTCCCACCACCGACGACGGATTTCATATTGATTCATTTGGCCTTAAGTGAAGCAGGCTATCGCCTTTACACAAATGAAAAGACCCATGACTGACTGACACCGCAACACAGGGGTAGTAAGGAGGCAGCTAACCACCGACTGAATTCTAATTTGTTCACCTCTACACAAAGCTAATTCCAGGAAAGGTGCAAAGTGAATGCCTGATAAATTAAAGCGAGGCTGAAATAACTACCTGCAAAAAGGGCGAAGAGCTATTTCCCCAAAACTTTGGCATTCCTCCCCGCCGCCCCCGCTTCCGGAGGCTTCTGGAGACACTACCCCATCAGGCCCGCCGATCGGTCAAGATACCCAACCCAGGACAATCACTTACCGCGAGCTCAGCGAGCTACGCCGGCCGACCGGCGAAAAGAGCACCGGGGAGCTGACTGCCGACCCTAGTGACAGACCTTTTCTGCTAGTCGCCCGGGGCGTGGAGCCCGGTCCGACTCCGCCCAGCGGGCCCCTTCGGGTCCCGGGCCCAGGTGTCCGCGGAGAGGAGACGCCCGGGAACATGACGGAACGGAGAGGCGACACGGGGCGCGCAGATTCCTTCTGTGGGGCTGCAGCTCTGCTCGCGCGCCGGGGAGCTTGAACGCCCAAAGGCGGGAGGGCGCGCGGTGATGACGCAAAAGCAAAGCGCCGAGCTGCGGGCTTTGTCTGGGAGGCGGGGGAGGCCCGGGTGGGAGGGCGGTGAGACGTAAAAGCGCGGCGGTGAGACGTAAAAGCGCGGCGCCGAGCCGCGGGGTGTGGTCGGAGCCGTGTAGGTAGCGGGCCGGGGAGGGCGCGTGGTAATGACGTCAGAGGCTGCCTAGGGCCGTGGGACTTGGTCCTGTAGGTGACCAGTGGAGGGTTTAGGGGGCTGGCGGGTGTCCGGAGTCTCAGGGAAGTGAAACTGGAGAGCCAGGTGCCCTTTTCGACTGTCTGGCCCTTTAGCAGCCTGAACGCAAAGCCTCTCTGCGTTCTGGTCTTTCCCGAGCCTCTTGGGAACTGGAAAGTGTGGGTTCACTGGTCCACGCTGAGGAGGGGGAAATCGGAAAAGTTGCCAGCGGTTTCACACTCTGTTATATTTGTTCTTCTCTATATGTATCATTCCCCACTCCCTGCTGTCTCATCCACGCTAGTGACGCCACAAGTCCACATCTTTCTCCGAGATCTTGCTCAAAAACTGCAGACTCCAAACAGCTCCCTAGTGGACTTTTTGACCTGCGGTCCTGCAGGACTCCTGACGAGCCACCTGTTAAAAGCCGAATTCTTGTTTTCCTTTAGGGACCCTGTCCTAACACCTCTGCCCCACTTGGTAAAACTGGCCGGTTACCCAAGTCAAAAAGAAGAGCTCTGTCCAGGAGTCATTCTTCACACTTAACCGCCACTGCGACTTCTGGTACACTGTAGCCCCTGAACGTCAGCCTCCTGCAGTGGACAGCGGTGACCGCGGCGAGTGGAACAGTATCAGGATCTATGCCTTGGGGGCAGAACAAGTACTTCTTTATCACTACCCAGGGTTCTGCCTTTTCCTAGTGGCTGCCATTTCCTTAAAAAACAAAGCAAACAACAACAACAACAAACAATAAATCGTTTCCTTGTTTATACTTCGACCTCTTTTTGAATAGGATAGTCCCTTAGACAGGAAATCTAGAGTTCTCACACTCAAGCGGTATCATCACCAGGAGGGCTTGTTAAACTGCATTGCTGCCCAATCACAGTGTCTTTGCATCTCTAAGGAGTTTCTAGGTGTCGGATGATGCGGCCATCTGGGGACCCTGAGATAACCACTGGAGTAGTTATTGAGTGTATAGACTCTGGAATTAAATGGGACTCACTTCAGATCTCCGCTCTGCTATTTACTGTCTCCGTGTTAAGCCTCTATTAAATTACTAATAGTACTCACTTGTGAGAATTAGATAATACAGATGTGACTGTATTTGTGGATGTCAAAAAACAATAACATAGAATGAAGGCAAACAAGCGAAGAGAAACAGTATTTCCAATAAAATAGTACTCTTTAAAGAAAACCAGAGAAAGCAAGCTACCCCAATAGAAAAAATGGAAATGTATGAAGGGCATGAGCTAGCATTAAGTCAAAGACTAGAAACGACCAAAAACACATGAAAAGATCTTCAACACGACTAATAATTAAAGAAATGCAAATGAAACCACCAATCAGTATTGTTTGCCTGTTGAATTAGCCGGAAGGTTTTATAAAATGAAAATCGTTCATGCTGAAAGGCTGTGGGGTAATAGGCGCTGATGTATACATTTTTGGTGTATTTTTTGGTGAGATATTTATAAATTAGTATGGTCTTTTAAGAGGATAATCTATCGAAAAGCCTTATAACTTGTATATGCTATCTTTTTAAAATTTTTTTTTTATTTATGTATTTAACAGAGAGACAGCGAGAGAGGAAACACAAGCAAGGGGAGTGGGAGAGAAAGAAGCAGACTTCCCACCAAGCAGGGAGCCCAATTCAGGGCTGGATCCCAGGACCCTGAGATCATGACCTGAGCCAAAAGCAGTCATTTATTGACTGAGCCACCCATGCGCCCCTTGTATATGCTCTTTAAACCTAGCAATTCACTTTTAGAATTTAGCTGAAAAAAATAATAATAAATATGTTTATAATAGCAAAGAATATAGAAAGATGTCCAATGATAGATTTATAGTATATTCACATTATAAAATTCTATATGGTTAAAAAGAATACATGTAGATGTGTGTAATGAATACTTAAGGATGTAGGAAAATATTCTGTTGTAAAATTTTTAAAAGCAAGTTGGTCAAAAAACAGTATGTCCACTATGAGCCCATTTTTTATTGCAATAAAAAAATGCCTCATAGACACATGTACACATATGAGAAGCTCAACTTGAACATGTGCCTCCTTTTTATACACCCTTCCTAAAGACTGCCCTTCCAAACTTTGATTTCTGTGGCACTAATCACTGCAATCAACAACGGGATAGTAGCCAGAATTGTTTCCTGCAGCTGTAGTAGAATTGTTAGAATTCCACTATCACCAACACAGTTAATGGTGATATTATTAAAATAGAAAGGCAGGGAAACAATGAAGAACTCATCATGGAAATTATCCATGCCTAATCATTTTCAAGGCATTCATTTAATTGCCATCTAATGGCAATGGAACTTTTTGAGACTCTAAATTTGAGACTCTAAATTGAGACTCTAAACTCTAAATTTCACTGTAGTTTAGAAGTCCTCCGAGCAGGGAAGAGTGAATATTGTTTTCACTAGTTCTGCAGTCAGCAAACTGTCAAGGGTCAGAAAGTATCTCCAGCTTTCAGGCCATATCATCTGTTGCAACCGCTCACCAGTGAGTGTGACTGTGTTCCAATGGTAGGTGCCTGCCCCTCCCAGAGGAACTAGCTTGTGGACCCCGGAAGGAGCGGGGCAGGCCGGGTGGAGACGTCCAATCGCTGGGGCGTGGGTATATCCATTGGGTAAATTGGGATTCAATTGGCTACCCGTGTAGGGGTGGGGCTCAACCACCCCCCATAAAGGTTGGTCTGCCAGGCTGGTGAGGAAGGAGAAGGAGAGCTGTCAGAGGAAGAAGGAGCAGAAGAAGGAGAGTCGGCGGGAGCAGAAGAAAGAGAGCTGTGACAGCTCTTCTAAGAGCTGTAGGAGTTGTAACAGCTCTTGTCAGAGCTAGAAGAGCCGCCAGTGGACCCGAGCGTCCAGCGGTCCCCAGCCGCCGGTGGCCCCGACGCCAGCAGCCCTGCCCACACCACGCCTTTGGCAGCGGTGCCGCGGGGAGCAGAGGAGACACCAGCAGCCAAGCCGCCAGCGGACCTGAGCCGCCGGCGGCCCCGACGCCAGCAGTCCCAGCACGCCAGCGGTCGCAGCACGCAAGGAACCCAGAGACGCCAGCGGCCCTGACACCAGTGGCCCCGCCCACACACCACGGTCCTCGGCAGTGGATACAGGGAACCTAGACGCCAGCAACCTCGCCACCAGGAGCGGCCTTGATACCCTGAGCCGCAGCCTCGCCGGAGCTGCGCCATTCTGGGGAGCGCCTTCATCTGGAACGAGGCTTCCTCGGTGAGCAGCCCTGCGGGAGGCAGCATCCTCAGGGAAGACGCTTCCTCCAGAGCGGCCTCTTTTTGTGAGCAGCCTTGTCCGGGGAGCAGCCCTGTCTGAGGAGCGACCTCATCAGCAACGGCCTCGTCCTGGGAGCGGCCTCATCTGCAGAAAGGCCTCGTCCAGAGCAGCCACGTTGGGAGCAGACTTGCCGGGGTCATCGTCGTCACCTTTTCGTAAGAGACAGCCCTGACCGGTCAGTTTGATTTTTGATGCTTGGCGTAAAATAAAGCTTTGTTTGATTTTCGCTTTAGATCAGTCTCGTTCCTTTGATCACGGACCCTATCACAATAAAACTCTATTTATGGACACTGGGATTTGAATTTCATATAACTTTGATATGTTATGAAGCATTTTTCTTTTGGTTTTTAAAAAATAATTTAAAACTGTAAAAACTAGGGCACCTGGGTGGCTCAGGCAGTTAGGCATTCGACACTTGGTTTTGGCTCAGGCCAGGATCTCAAGGTCGTGGGATCAAACCCAAAGTCAGGCTTCATGCTCTGTGCAGTCTGCTTGGGATTGTCTCTCTCCCTCTCCCTCTGCCCTTCCCCCAGCTTGCACACTCTCCTTCTCACTAAATGAATAAACAAATCTTTAAAAACAAACAAAACTGTGAAAACCATCCTTAGCTTGCAGGCCATACACATCAGGCAGCCAGTCAGATTGCGGATCCATGGGGCAGTTTATTGAGGGAGGCACAGGTCCTTTGTTGGCAGAGGACCTAACAAAATAGATGTTTTTGGAATGAATAGAAATCACCATGATGCCTCAGATGTAAAAATCATGTAGAACACCCCCAAAGGAACATTTACAATGTAGTTCTCACATACTTTTCATAAATATACTTAATGTTTTGTAACATTTATATTTTCATTTATTTTCTAACAGCTTTGGCATTTTTATGAAATAAAATGAATTTCCAAAATAGAGCCCTAATTTATAAACATGTACTGACAAGGGTTTAGCCTGTAACAGTTTATTTAGCTTATGATTATTTCCTGAGAACCAGTCAAGTCCAGGGTCAGAGAAGGCCTTGCACATAGGGGTGAGCCTGGGAGGGTGGACAAAAAACCCTAAGCTCATTAACATGAAATTTTATCCTCACAGGTAGACTTTCTGGTGATTAAAAGTGTTTTTGGCTTATTTTCTAAATTGCTTATATGAACATATATATCCCTCAATGGTTCCCCATGCATGTAGGATGAAAGCTAAGATTTTCAGCATGATATTAAAGGTCCCCCATGATCTGGCTCCTGCTTCTCAAATATCTCCTTCTATATAGCATCAGTGCTGAACTGACTTACAACTCTCCTATTCGTGTTTTGTCTTCCGTGAAAAGGGGATGATAGGTTTTTATGTTAATTATAGAATTATCTGGGGCACCTCAGGTCATGACCCCAGGGTCCTGGGATTGAGCCCCCCATTGGGCTCCCTGCTCAGCAGAGAGCCTGCTTCCCCCTTTCCCTCTGCCTGCTGCTTCCTGTTTATGCATGCCTCCTCTCTCTCTGTGTCAAATAAATAAAAAATAAATTATAGGATTGTGGAAGTATCAAACATGTTAACGTGTACACTCTGGAAAAAAAGTGGCACCATCCACAGTGCTGGCAACAACACCTCTGTACTACTTAGCTATTTTCTTGTAATTAATTTTTTTTAAGATTTTATTTATTTATTTGACAGAGAGATCACAAGTAGGCAGAGAGGCAGGCAGAGAGAGAGGGAGAGAGCAGAGAGCCCAATGTGGGGATCGATCCCAGGACCCTGAGATCACGACCTGAGCTGAAGGCAGAGGCTTAACCCACTGAGCAACCCAGGTGCCCCTTGTAATTAATTTTTATCTGCCTTATCTCTCCTTCTAAATAAATTAGAAGCTCCTAGAGGGCAGATGATCATTCTGTCATTAACCCCACAGCACAACTCCTTGTCCAAGGTGGGGGCAGGGGGTGCTTAGTTGCTGCACTGAAGCAACTAAATAGAGTATTTATGTAGGAGTATTGACAATACTGACTCCATCTTTAGCCCTCCATCTTGTTCATGTTTGCTCTATGACTTGTGTTCCAGGCCCCTTGAAGATTAATATACATAATTTAGAAATGCCCCCCAAGGCTGGGATGTGTGGAGGCTTGCTTTGGCCTCCCATGCATCTGTTGGAGGTAAGAGTCTTTACTCTTCCCAATGCATGGATGGCACCACAATTATCTAATTAAAAGTTAGCTGTCAGTTAGGTGCATGCAAACCCTTTGATCTCACCACAGTGCCCTCCCACCCATGTATCTCCTTGCTCTATAAAATCTGTAGACCAAGGTCTGGACTTTATGGAGAGTAGCTGTGCAGCTGCCTGGCTCGTCGTCCACCCGACCCCCCATCAGCAAGTTACCTGAATAAAACTCTGTGTAAACTAGATGGAGTCACCTGCTTTGTTTTCCAGTCTCTAAGTACCTTCTCAGTTTGGGGGTTAATTTACTGTCCCTCCCCCACCTTCTAACAGTTGGTAAATAGCAAAAATACCTAAAAAAAAAAAAAAAAAGTAAATATGAGGACATTAACAATCAGGTAGGGAGGAAATGAAAGAACTTGTAGTTACTACTTACTTTTCCTTATCATGTTTTAGAAGTGACAGACACAGATAAGTTCACTATAGTTTTAGAAGAAGTGACAGACACAGATGAAGTTCACTATAAATTTTAATCCAGGATATAAAATGTTCCCTAAAGACACAATTGAACATCTTGTATTAGAAAATAAAATATAATGATCAAATTCAATTTTGTAAATACTTCTATGGCACAAAGAGATTTCCCTCAGATCCAGCCTTGTAATTGTTTTGTCTGCTTTCTGAAAACCACACCATAATAGCAAATTGTATAAAGAATACAAGTAAAGCTTGTTAAAATGATTGTCACAGATGTATTGTTTCCTAATACAAAGAACTTGGAGTTCATTCACTCACTGAGTTCATTTTATTCAATAATAAATTCCCTTATGTAGAATGAATTATAATATGACACGCTTATCATGAAATAATCAGTGAACTCATCAATATTTAGGACACGGACAAACTTCCATTTTAATTACATCAACATAGTTATTTCTTAGGTTCTGGCATTATCAATGTAAGAAAAAGCACTTTTTCTTGAGGCAGAGCAAATTAACAGCGCTGATTTGAAGTATGGCAAATCTAATGGTTATCAGCATTGCTTTCAGAATTCTGAGGAATTTGGATGAAAAAAACTATAGCCATAAATAAAAAGGGTCATTGTCCTTTTTTCAGAAGAGCAACAAGTTCTGAAAGTTTCTTGATATTCCACAGTATAGAAAGAACTAAACTTTCTTCAAATGTTTTAAGGTTGAAAATTAGAGTTATTTAGGTTTTTGCCTCATTGAATGAAATTTCAGAAGTATTTAACTGATAAAACCTAAAATTTGGCTAGGAATTATGAATTTTTAAAAGATAATTTTCAAAATACATGCCTTCACATGAAAGGCATGAAAAAGGCATGAAAAAATTCATTTTTACCTCTTGATAATACCTAGCAATTCATGCCTGGTGAAAGCATTACAAAGTAACAAATGTGTGAATAATTAAATAATTAAAATAGAAGTTTCCATATTCAAAGGATGGGCCTCTTCCCTTTTTAAAACTGATCAGGCTTTCATGTGCTAAAAACGTTGAAAACCATACACATCCAAAAGCAGTCTCCTCCCAGAGGAACGCACATTTCTAAAGTCTCATATAGCTGAAGATACAGGAGATAGGGAACGTAAATGTTCCCTTCTCACCACGTGACACTAACTATTCCTGTATGTCTGTATTTCAGGTTCCCTTCAAGAGATTATCAGAATTTAAAAAAGGGAAGATTTCATCTTCTAGTAAAATCAGACACAATGCAGGTAGAATACTACCAAGAGGATTACAGAGTGATTGGCAAATCACATAAAACAATTTAAGCTTTTTACTTACAACTCCCTTTTAAAAGTTGTCATTTGAGAATAGCTTCAATCTGTAAGAGCCGGTAAAAAAAAAATAAAATGAGGTGCCATGTTATATTAATTAAAGTATTCCAGGATAAAAGAAAGTAAAAAACCTGAAGATAATCTCAGTGCTATAGACATTTAGAAAGTCACAATTATTAAAACTCTGAATAAAAAGGTATTGAGAACAGGTACATCTCAAAACAATATTTTCCCCACCTTGGAAAAAATAGGCGTATTTTAAATAACCTGAAGTATGATTTACAGATCAGATACCATTCCTAAGTTTTTTTCCTGCAACGATGTTTTGCTCTAAAGTCTCTCATGTTCACGTTATCGATCGTTGCTCCTTTATGCTGGAACAAGCCTCTGTTTGTTCATTAATTTCCGGTATATCCCATCTGGTTTTGCAAGCAGTTCCTCATGCTTCCCGCATTCTGTAATCTTTCCTTGGTCAAGAACAGCCACCGTGTTGGCATTCTTAATGGTGGACAGACGGTGAGCAATGATTAACACTGTTCTTCCCGCCATGAGCCGGTCAAGAGCTTCTTGCACCAGGTGCTCGTTTTCAGCATCCAGGGCACTTCCAACCGGAAACGGTGTGAGAAAGCAAAGACGTCAGTCCATGCAAACTACGCGCTCACCAGCTTCCTGTCACACGCGCAGTTGCCCCAGACATTTTCACTGCGATCAGAATTACAACTGCTCCTGAACATACATGTCTATGATCTATTTTTTATATTCCAAAACTACTACAGCAAGGAAACCTGGGACCCTTGATTCCCACAGACCTGCTGTCACAGAAGTAGAAAGTGCTGGGTACGGCTGTGGCTGAGCGTGATGGGGGCTCATCACAAACATGACTGAACTGAAACTAGAACCTTCCACCCTGACTGGGCCTGTCCACTGCCTCCCATCTGTCACTACTCAGCCAGACCCGGTCACTTTCACATGGAAGGGGTAAAAACAGCATTTTCAGCTGTATCACTTAGAAGCACAGAACAGTAAGTTTTTGGTACAGGAAGAATTGGACTGTACAATCACACACAGTACTAAGATATGCTCACCTGGTTGCTTCATCGAGGAGAAGAATTTTGGGATTCTGAAAAAAGAAAAGCATTATTTTTAATTGTTAATATGTTTTTCATGTTGTTTTCTTCTGAAAGGGAACACAATTTTATTATAAAAACACACACTCTCGGGGCGCCTGGGTGGCTCAGTGGGTTAAAGCCTCTGCCTTGGGCTCAGGTCATGATCCCAGGGTCCTGGGATCAAGCCCTGCATGGGGTGGGGGTGGGGGGGTGTCCCTGCTCAGCAGGGAGCTTTCTTCCTCCTCTCTCTCTCTGCCTGCCTCTCTGCTTACTTGTGATCTCTGTCTGTCAAATAAATAAATAGAATCTTTAAAAAACACACACACACACACACTCTCGGGGCGCCTGGGTGGCTCAGTGGGTTAAAGCCTCTGCCTTTGGCTCAGGTCATGATCTCAGGGTCCTGGGATCGAGCCCCACATCAGGCTCTCTGCTCAGTGGGAAGCCTGCTTCCCCTCTCTTTCTGCCTGCCTCTCTGCCTACTTGTGATCTCTCTCTCGGTCAAATAAATAAATAATAAAATCTTTAAAAAAAACAAACCACACACACTCTCAGTAATAAAAAGAAATGAAGTACTCATACAAAATACAGCATAGATGAACCTTGAAAACATTGTGCTAGAGAAAGAAGCCAGGCACAAAGGGCCGCACAGTGCAGGACTCCCTCTGCAGGAAATGTCCAGAACAGGCACGTTACAGAGACAGAAGAGCGAAGTGTTCACCTGGGGCCGAGGTCAACCGAGAAATAAGAGAGGAGGCCAGGTGTGACTGGTGAAGAATTGAGCGTCTCTTGTTAGATGTTCTCCACGTTAGATGTTCTAACATCGATCGGGGTGACAGATCCACAACTCGGAGCACACTGAAACCCACTGAACCCGCTTTAAACGGGAGCACGGTATAGGATGTAAGTTACCTCACAATAGAGCTGCTATGGGGTGTGAGATAAGCCCACGCATGGAAGAGTTGGAGGGGACGCTGAGCTGCAGTCGTGGGCGTCACTGGGCTGGATGTTGTTTACGGTGCCGTTTGACCCTGCTGGCAGTCACCCGGCAGTGTGAGGCAGGATCTAAAGTGAGTGAGACAGAGTCTAGAGGCTCAAGGTCCTGCTTGGAGTTTAGTTAGGAGCATCACATAAGACCGAGAAGACCTAAGAGTCAGCTGATGTCTCGAACACATTAAATTCTAGCTGTGCCTACGCAAGAAATGAAGACAGACGTCCACACAGACACCTGTACGCTACTTGCTCACAGAAGCACTGTTCACAACAGCCCCAGCCTGGAAACGTTCACCCAACCAAATGTTCACCACTGGCGAATGGATAATAGAGTCGTGCTGTGCCCCCACAACAGGAGATAGAGGACAGACATGAACAGACCTCAAACACATGATACTCATGGGGCGGTTAAGCCTCCAGCTCTTGATTTCGGCGCAGGTCATGATCTCAAGGTCGTGAGAGCTTGCCCTGCGTCAGGCTCCACGCTGGGAGTGAAGCCTACTTAAGATTCTCTCTCTCCCACTCCTTCTGCCCCTCCCCCCTTGAAAAAACAAACAAACATTATGCGAGTAAAATAGGCGAGATGCAAAGGCCACATCTTGTCGGACTGCATTTATCTGAGATGTCCAGAAAGGCAAATCAGGACAGACAGAAAGTACATTGGCAGCAGCCTGGGACTACAGGTGGGTGGGGGGAAAGATCGCAGGTGGGTACCAGGGCTCTATCTGGGGTGACAGAAATGTTCCAAAATTGGACTCTGTGACGGTTGAGCAACTGTACACTAACTAAAAATCACCGAAGGGTACACTTAAAACTGGTGAATTTTATGGTATGCTTCAATAACGCTATTTCTTTTTTTTTTTTAAACATCACCTATAAATCTGAGGAGGGTAGTTATATAACAAAGCAGAAGGCTATCATGTCCTAAAAACCACAATGGCTGGGGTCTTCAGCTAAAATGGCCTTCCTCTCCTCTTGGGAATCTTGTGGAAGTAAATTTCTAGTCTATACTAAGTCTAGCAATTGACTATAGATTATACAAAGAATCATACTTGTATTGTTTTGATATTTTTATAGAATCACTGTTTTGCTTGTTAGACCACATACTTCTTCACAGAGGTCCATGTGTTAACCTTTTCTCCCTCCAACAACCCTAGCACAGTACCGGGCCCCTAACACCAAAGAAATACTTGTTAAATTCGAACAACATAGACCCAGTGGAACTCCCAACTCATCTTTCACGGGAACTACCAACCGTATACCTACCCTCCCCCTCCGAAACAAAAGGAAGAAGCATAGTAAATTACAAATTATAAGGTCCCTAATTAAAAATGATAATAAAAAAATCCCGGCCAAGTGGCTTCAAGCTTACCTTAAGCAGAGCACGGGCAATCGCAATCCGTTGTTTCTGCCCACCTGACAATGACAATATATATATTTTTTAAACTTGAAAGACTTAACAAAAATTCCTGGTAATGGGTTTTTCTGATAAGCTAAGTGGCGATTTGAAGGCAGCTTCTTCTGGTTAGTCATAGCTGAGATAGTATTACAAAAGCCTATTTTTAAAAATTTATTGTCTCCTCATCAACCTCAAAAGTAATAACAACAATTATCACAGCTAACATGTATTGAGGAGTTCCTATGTACCAGGCTAAAAGCATTACAATGTTATCTCACTCAACCTTAAAAAAAATCCTGTGAAGTACATCCTGTAATTATTCCCTTTTCACAGATGAAAAACCAAGGGCACAAAATAACCAGTCCTGGGTGTCACAGTTAGTTGGTAAGTGGCAGAGTCAAAGTCTGAGTAAGCCACTTTGATCCACCCTTTTAGAACTCAAATTCTACTAAAAGCAAGGGAAGAAACTGGGGGGTGGGGGATGGGAGTGGGTAAATGCAGATGGGACAGAGGCAGGCAGAACATCTCTGAGAATTCCTTTCCTCATCTTCGCCTCTCACCACCCTCTCTCCTTTCCTCCAGGGAACGGGGCCCTCAAGTTACAACTGTAACTTACAAATAGCATTCAGGACTCCTCCAGACTTACTTCATTTTAAAAAACTCACTACATTTTTGGTGATGAAAACAGTCCTTTCTGGTTGATTTTATCAGATGAAAAACTTATTAATAGTAACTGCTGAGCATTACATGACTTCATCTAAAAGAAGCTCATAAATGATGAACCGAAATCCAATTACATCTGAAATGTGTGGTGCTCCTGAAAGCTGTCCTCAAATAGGCAGCCCCGTGCTCACAAGGGAACCAGGGAAATCCCCTTTTTGGGGGAACCTCTGAAGTTGGCGAGGGTGTCAGAGTGCTGTGAGGTGGGCTGGCTGCGCAGTCAGCGGAGGGTTTTGGGTAAGCTCAGAGAAATCCTCAGTGCCAACCGGTGCACTGGGCATCTGTCACTAGATGTCCTTTCTTCCACCCAGAAAGTGACTATGGGTTGAAACCTTTGGTTATTTCACTCTGAAACGGCAGCTTGAGAATCCTGGTAGAGGGAAGGCCGTGCGGAACCTGTTCCAAGGGAGGAGGTGACATGCTTGTTGGACAAAGTGAGGTAGCTCTCGGCCCGACCCCCTGACACTCAATAATGTCACCACAAGCAGCTGAAACTGGTTTTCTACCCGAGGACGTGTTTGAGGGATGCCAGAGCAGTTCATTTGTACAAAGCAGTGTGTGATTCTACTGCTGCAATCTTGCAAATCTATCCAAAACATTTCTTCATCCACTGCCTATTGTTTAAAAATCATACACAATAAAAACATGCCTGTATTAAATTTCCTGGGGTCTAACCTGAAACAAAAAGTTTTGAGTTGGAAAGGACTACTGCTCTAGTCCAACCCAGCCACCTTCATCTGACACGGAGGCGTCTGTCCTCTGCTCAGACACTCCAGTGACAGAGAGTTCATCGCATGGAGGGGAGCACATGGCAATAATTGTAACGAAGAAATTATCTGTGCTTACCCCCAGATTTCTTTCCCTTTAAGTCTACTCATTGGTCTTACTTCTGTATTCTAAAGCAAACAGAATACAAGTTTTTTCTTTCCCTCCTGAAAATACAGTACCCAGAATGCACCGCGCTGCCACGTGCTCTAACATCCCAGGGAAGAGCGACTGAGCCTTGGCCATGAGTCCCGCCTGCTGTGCCGAGGGCCAGATCCCGACCACTACCTGTTTGTATGTAAACCTAAGAGTGGTTTCCGCATTCTTAAAGGGTTGTTTAAAAAAAATCAACAAAGGACATGTAACAGAAACCACCTGTGGCTCATAAAATCTCAAATATTTACTCTCTGGTCCTTTACAGGAGAGTCCGCGGACCGGTTTAACATGGAAAGCACAATGTGGGGAACAGAGAGCTCTTCGGTTTCAGTTCTGCTCCGGCTCACAGCCCCTGCCCCTCTGAACACACCAGCCTGCCACCTGTACCTCTCTTAATTTCGGCCATTTTCAAGGATCTCAAGTTGAAAGGACCTTTTTTTCCTCAGATGAGAGAAAATCTCATCTCATACTCAGTGGGACACTCCGTGGGAATTTGGGAACACCTTTGAGGTGGAAAGTGAAGGAAACTGGGGAGCTGTCCGCATACAAAAGAGATTTTTAGAAAGTAGAAAAGCTAATCTCATGAGCTCTAAGGACAAAAGCCTAATTAGAAATTAATAGTGCTGTATGAAATGCCGCAGAGTTCTGTGGAGCAGAGAGTTTTGGGGGCCCAACAGTAACAAAAAAGGTACCTGAAAGGAGAACTCCCTTTTCTCCAACCACAGTGTTGAATCCCTGGGGGAAGTCTCGGATGAAAGCACCCGCGTTAGCTACATCAGCCACTCTCTCTATCTGCTCGGCTGTCACTGAGGAGGGGTCATCTGCACCGTAAGCAATGTTCTCCCCAATAGAGCAAGAAAACAAAATTGGTTCCTGCAAATTGGAAACAAAGCATATTTGCTGTAAATTTCAAAATAGACTTCAAACATATCTAGGAAATGCAGTGAAGCTTAATACAGTTCCTTACCTCGAAAACCTATTAAATTGCTCTCAAGGAATACACAGTCAGCTGCTGAATAACACAAATGTTAGGGGTGCTGACCCCCATGCCGTCGAAAATCTGAGTTTAACTTTTGAACTCCCCCAAAACTTAACCACTAATAGCCTACTGTTGACCGGAAGCCTTACTGATAACATAAACAGTGGATTAACATGTATCTTGTGTGTTATACACATATCCTATATGGTATTCCTGCAATAAAGTAAGCTAGAGAAAAGAAGACATTATTAAGAAATCCTAAGGAAGAGAAAATATGTTTATAGGTACTGTACTATAAAAAACCCATGCATAAGGGGTCCCATGTAGTTCAAACCCATGTTGTTCAAGTGTCAACTTTACACTCTTTGTTTAAAGATTTTTTATTTATTTATTTGAGACAGAGGGAGCAAGAGAGTGTGCACACGCGCACATGCGCAGGAGTGGGGCAGGGAGCAAGGAGCAGAGGGACGGGGAGAGGGATAAGCGGACTCCACACTGAGCACAGAGCCCGACGGGCTCAATCCCAATACTGGACCTGACGGTCAGACGCCAACCAACTGGGCCAGCCAGGAGCCCAGCTGCATACTATTTTGATTCTACTTCCTCATTCTCCATAAATCCGCCCAGCTGACTTCTAAAAAATTCATGTTCTTCCATGAACAGGATTGATTTCATCGAGATACTGCAGGAAATGAGATCCCATGGCAGGTGCCCGGTAGCCAGCAGATACTTCATAAATGTAAGCTCCTGCCCTTGGGAATTGTCAGGTATGGAAGACGCCGGCTCCATCTGTATTTTCCAGCTTCGGGCTTCCCACTAAGGATCGAGGGGGGATTCCCCATCTCTATTCGTTACTTTTTGAAATATACACAAACCAGGTGGGAACATGACATTTTAACAGAACCCTGTGGAATGGTCCTAAAACAGCAAATAAGCCTCCAGCTTCTTTTCTCCATCCCTAAACAACATGCCCTGCTGCTATCCTTATACTGCCAAGCCACCCCCATCACTGCCCGTCCTGCTCCTCAGCCGGTAGAGTGGGGTGAGGGGAAGTTCATTAGAGGGAGAGGCTCAGAAATGAAGGAAGCCTCAGGTCTGCCTGTGCACATAGCCTGATAATAAAGTATCAGCAGCTGTGTCAGAACTTCCCTGCACCAATTGGTCTCATGAAAACAGCCTCATTAAAGTGATCATATTACACAGACATTCTGCCTTGAAACCAGCAACCTCTCTGCAAGGAGACCCTGGCTCTCGCCATCATCTCTGCTTGCTTATCCCTGAAACCCATTATGTAAAACAGCAGACACTGCCAGTGACGAGAATAGGAATTGGGGAAGAATCCGTAAAAGCTAGAAAGTTCTACCACTTCCGCCCATCCTCTCTGAACCACCTGCATTACAGGCTATACTAGTCCCCGGCTTTGGATAAAAAGTCGGTTTCAACTGGTTCAAGTCTTTAAGGTGGTCAGGATACAGCACTATTTACAAACCTAAAAAACATGCCAGCGCAGATTAGCTTAGCATATCTGGAGAACTTCGATTCCTCCTTCTCTTTTGAGAGGTTCAAGTCTAAAGAAAACATAATTAATAAAAGCAAACTTAAAAGACAGTGTAACAAAAATAGGAACCTCTCTTCTTACCTGACTCACTGTCCCAATCTTGGACCTCAGCCAGACTGGATTTAGCTGACGGATATCATGGCCATCGAGACTGATAGTTCCTTGTAGAGAGGAGAGGAAAGTCATGGAGTGTCACGGGGCCAACGACTAATGTAAACACTGAAAGGATCTGGTGGAAAAATTCCACATTCAGTTCTTTTAAAGATGAAAAGTATGTTCAAAATCTCCAAACAGAATCTAAAATCAACATATTTCACGGAATTTCCCTGTCTGCTGTCTCCCTGCAGTGGTTAGCTGACTAGCCCATCCGCTAGTTCATCCCTCCCACTCGCTTCACTGCAGTGACTGATTTCCCTTCTGGACTGACTCAGGGCTCCCCCAGAAGATTCTAACTCTGGAGCTTCCTGACCACGTCAGCATCAGCAACCACCTTGAAGGTCTGATTCTGCGGTGACGTTCTGGAGAGGTGTCCTGGAAATTCAACCCTGGCAGTGCTTTTTATTTTTAGCTCTTTTATTACTCCTTAAAATAGCCCTTCCTGCATAAATACGGTCAGAGGAGAATCATCCACAACCACAAATCTGATATCAGAGCAGAGCTTTTCAATAATCAGATGTGACTCTGTGACCCTAGCGAACAGAATTAATTCTACGCCACGGAGGGAACTCAACAATGCTTGGGGACGGCGATGATGGTGACTAAAACACACTCTTTCTCTGTCCGTGGTGTGGAATTACACCAGCCAGCTGTAAACTTTCATAAACTAGCAAAAACCTGAAGTCTTTGACTTAAATAGTACAAGAGTTCTATAGACTATGCAAGGCTGGAATTTACATGTAGTTTCTCTTCTCCTTGACTTGTTCACCATGATAAAGAAATTAGGGGCTTCATATTCTGACTTGTTTGCATTCACCTGACTAGGACTTTTCTAAATTCAGAATTTTATAGCAAGGAGAGTGAATCAAAACAGGGATTCCAAAGGCAACAGCGTAGTTAACACCTATTTTAACACAGTTGGTGATTCCGTGGGTCGGGATCTGCAAGTCGAATACTTATCTGCACAGGAAAATGGTCTTAACCAAATGGCACAGATACAAAGATCGTAAGACAGATTAGTTTTAAACGAGTGATGTGATTTTTACTAAGAGTTGTCTTCTTGCTGAGAAACATCACTGTTTTCTCAGTCCCAAATCGAACCCACTAATACGGACTATCTCCTCCAGGCTCAGATACGAAGGTTACAGACTGGATGTGTGGTGAGGGATGTTGGACATTTCACAATGTCCATTCCACAATGAACCATGCTGCACACCTGGAACTAATAACGTTATACGTCAATTACATCTTGATTAACAAAGGATATAAAGAAATAAAAGAACATGTTCTCTGCTCTAACAGATGACATAATCCAGTTAAAAATAAAAACCAGAACAAGAAAAATCCATTACGAAAATCCGTACTACCTCAAAATAGTTTCCATGACGCAGTCACACAGAAGGGACCCCCGGCTGCCAAGTCACCCGTCGGCACGTTAGCCACAGGGCAGTTCGCGGGCAGATGCAGCCTGAAGGCTTCCAGAGAAGCTCCACAAGCTGAACGGCCAGTACAGAGTGGTACTTAATCCTCGGTGCTGCTCAGCCCCATGCGGGGCACCTTGTTGGAGCTGTGGAGCAGCCTTGCCCATCCTCTCCCAGGAGAGGGGGCGTCAGAAGGGGACACCAGCATGGGAGATGAGGAGGTAGAATTCAGGAAGTCACTCAGGACTTGAGGAGGTCAGACACGAACCATACATACTGCCTGCCAGGCCTTTTGTGTCTTCTTAAAAGGGACACCTTTATGTAAGGGACTTCTTTCCTGGGAACCAGTCCTCTGGGATTTCACAACTCTCGCACTACAGGTCTTTGCACGATTTCATCCTCCCCCAGAACATGGGAGTACAAGGGCTCTGGAGGGTCCTGCCACCAAGCACAGGACGAAGCACTCACCAGAAACGGGGTCATACAACCTCAGCAGAAGGGACACCACTGTTGATTTGCCAGAACCACTTGGGCCAACTAGTGCCGTGACCGATGCTGATGGGATAGAGAGGCTGAAATCCTGGAATATGGGCACCTCCGGGCGAGCTGGATAGCTGAAGTGCACATTCCTAAATTCCAAAGTGCCCTGGAAGCTCTCCTGGTTTAGAACGACCCCTTCTGCAACGGGAGGGAATGAGAGTCACTTCACAGGAAGATCAAACCGACAGCAGATCTCCGTCCTCCCACTGGTTGGACCGCACACAGATGGCGCCGGCGGCAGGAGGAGGCCTTAAGCCTGCTTGGCACCCACTCCGTACAAGGCACGATGCACACGCGCTCGTCTGATTTTCACAGCCTTGAGCAGCGCAGATGGCAGGACACTGCCTCTCAGAGACAAGCACCTGCCCAAGCTGACTGGTGGTGGAGCTAGCTTTCACCTGGGAAGCAGTCTGGTTTCAAGGCCCATTGCCTTTCCTCTGTGCCACTGACTCTGGAGCTCCCCAGGTCCAGAGTTCATCTTTTCTACTCTAAATAAATATTCAAGACAAGGACGGTAAATGGGTAGGCCTTGCACAACAGCTGCAGAGCCTGGTACTACCTTGCTAATGACTTGGGAAAAGCTGTTCAGTTCCTTTCAGCTGCATTTATTTCCTCCAGCCCGTCACACTGGAGAATACTGGGATTTCAACTCATGATCTGGGGCTAAGCAACAATGTCCTGGGAGTCAGTGATGAGGAACGGTTACGGCTCCGGGACACATAGCTCCCCCAGAACGAGCTTCCAGGAAAGCAGCTGATAAAGGAGATTGCTCTAGCCAATTAACACCAGCATCCCCTGGCCCACTACCCAAAGCCAAGAAATTCAGAGGCTTTTATATGTGTGGTCTGTCTTCCTTTCCCCACATCCTCCCCACTGCCCAAACATCAGAATCACTACAGAAGACCAATCTGCTGGACTGGCCAGGGCCTTTCCTATTTGCAACCCTGGGTGGCACTCGCTTCCTTCCTGCTATTGGTGGTAATGAATCATCTGCAGGGACGGCGCACCATGCGGTCAGCCCCCACACTTCCAGGGCCATCCTCTGCCCAGCTGCAGTGCCCGCCACCTTCCTTCCTCTCTCACTGCCTGCCCCTCTGATCACCCTTCTCTGCTGTGTGGCAGGGACAACATCCTTCCCATGCTCATCCTCTGCAGGCAGAGCACGGCGGTGGTCTAACTGTCCAAAGCCACATTCGTTTAATCCCAGCAAAGAACAAATTCATGGGAGACCCACCATTAAAAGGCAGCTCAGGCTCTCTCTCAAGAAGCTCCCAGAGGCGTCCCCCGGCACCCAGCCCTTTCATCAGCTCCGAGTAGAAAGAGCTCAGACCTGAGGACAAGAAGCAAACATATCCATCACCAATGCCAGGAAATGACCATCTGCTACCCCCAGCCCTTTGCAAATAGTAACAATGAGTTGCTTTTAATATAAAATCTGTTAGCTTTCAAAAAAGGATTTGAGGCAACTACCATATTCAAATTCCCTGTGTCATACCCTTGTTTGCCCTCAGCTTCTCTAATTTCACTGATTTCTAATAAAGATTAAATGTTGAATTGGGAATTTACAAATGCAGACAGCCATAGTAATCAACCACTGAATTAAAATCACAATGTCACAGAGAAAATCTACCTAGTTGAAAAACATACAATGTAAATAAAATATAACACTTACTTAAAAGGAATATAAAACATCTAAATATTCATTTTAAATTCCTAGCCACAAAATCAAACCCCCCTTTTCAGTCACTCAACAAAAGAACAGAACTTTTACTAGGCTAAAAACTGAAAAAGAATTTGGAAATGTTAAATATTCCAACGATCTCTTTAAGGTCACCTTTGAAGTATGAATTAATTATGACTTAAAGCAAACAAACTCCAAGTACACGAAGCCATGTAAACTGCAAGAATGTACACTTGTAACACTTTCCCTCAATAAGGATGCTGCAAAAATGCTATTCAAATATTCTTCCTAAGGTACTTTTGTGCACATATTTGTGGAAACTTGTGCAAAATACAGTGGATTAAATTCTTCAGGCTAAATTAAAAATGCACTGGGCATAAATAGATCCAGATAAACAGAGGCAACTAATCTTTGACAAGTGAGCAAAGGTAGTTCAATAAAGAAAGAACAATCTTTAACAAATGGTGCTGGAACTACTGGAAATTCACATGCAAAAAAAAAAAAAAAGAATCTAGACACAGACCTCAAACTCTTCACAAAAATTACTCAAAGTGGACCATAGACTTAAATGTAAAAAAAACAAAATAAAACAAACAAACAAAAAATTATAAAAACTCTTGGAAGATAGGAGAAATCCTGAATGACCGTGGATTTGGTGATGACTTTGTAGACATCACACCAAAACACATGATCAATGAGAGAAAAACTGATAAATTAGACTTCATGAAAAGCAAAAACTTGAGCTCTCCAAAGAAAATGAGAAGACAAGCCACAGAGTGGGAGAAAATATTTGTCTAAGACGTACCTGCTAAAGGATGGATATCCACAATATAAGAACTCTTAAAACGCAACAATAAGAAAACCACCCAGTTAAAAAATGGGCAGAAGACCTGAACCCAAAGACCTCACTAAAGAAGAAATACAGATAATAAAAAAGCGTATGTAAACATAAAGATGCTCCACATCATACGTCATCGAGGAAATGCAAATAAAACAACAGGAGATACTCCGCACACCTAATAGCATGACGAAAACCCAAGCTGCCGACGTGGTGAGGACATGGAGCATTAGGAACCCTTGCTCACTGATGGCGGGAACGCAACACAGGACAGCCACTTTGGAAGGAGGTTTGGCAGTTTCTTACACTAGACACACTCTTGCCGTATGATCCAGGAACCTCACTCCTCTGTGTTTACCCAGAGAAGGCGAAAACTTACGTCCACATGAAAATCTGGATATTTAAAGCATCTGTACTTACAATTGCCAAAATTTGGACGTAATCAAGATGCCCTTCAATATGTGGATGGACAGATATACTGTGGTCCATGAGACAATGAAATATTAGTCAGTGCTAAAAAGAAATGAGCTTTTGAGCCCTGAAATTGGCATGGAGGAACGCTCGGTGCATTGTACGAATGAAAGATGACAATCTGAGCTATGTGACATTCTGGAAAAGGCAAAACTACAGAGACAGTAAAAAGATCCGTTGTGAAGGGTCAGGGGATGGGAGGAAGAGGCAGAGCACAGAGGATTTTTAGGGCAGTGAAAGTATTCTGTATGATGCTGTGATGATACATACATGTCCAGACCCACACCAGTGAACATAATATAAACTGTGGACTTTGGGTGATAATGACATGTCAGTGTTGGTTTGTCAATTATAACAAATGTAACACTCTGGGGGAGGGGAATGTTGATCGTGAGGGAGGCCGTGCTCGTGTAGAAGCAGGGGATATATGGGAACTCTCCCTACTTTCCCCTCAATCTTTTTGTGAACCTAACATTCCTCTAAAAAAAAAAAATCCTATTAGTGCAAAAAGGAAGGGAAGGAAGGAGTTGAAGGTAGTTCAACACAGTAGAGTTTAGACTCTGGAAACTATAAACAACAAAACAAAATGGCCCTGGATAAACAATTTGTGGTCTCTCCACACAATGGAGTGTTAGGGTCATGGAGAGTAATGAAGCACCCAGCCATGCTACAACGTGGGTGAACTCTGAAAACATTCTGCCCCATGACAGGAGCCAAATGTACAAGGCCACATAGTATGGGATTCCATTTGTATGAACTAAAGCAAACACATGAAGACCCAAAGCAAACTGTGGTTGCTAGAGGTTGAGGGAGGGAGGGATGAGGAAACAGACTGCTTAAGGAGTGCAGGGTTTTCTTTTGAGATGACAAATATATTTGGGAGCTAAGGTGAGGTGGGGGTTGCACAGTGCTGTGAATGTACAAAATACCACGGACCCATAACTTTAAAATGTGATGTGAATTTCACCTCAATAAAAATGAGTCAGAAACAAGGTATCAAGGTTCGGTAAGAAGATGTAAGAGCATTCTCTGGTGCAAAACAAACCCGCTTTTCTTCAAACAGCACTTCTGACCCTCTGTTGACAAAGAATGCAAGCAGAATTTTCGTTTTTCAGTATGTGGTTCTAAGCAGAAAACAACATCTAAAAATTCTTATTTAATAAATAAAATTTAATTTCTTGCTTGCAGATTCATTATGCAATTATTCTGAACAGTGGGCATCACCAAAACATTTAAAATCTAACTCAACTTCTTGAATGAAGTTCCTGTAGCCTTCCGTACCTGTCTGGGTTGTAACTGCGAGGAAACCGTGTGCTAAGAGACCCCGCCACATCTACCTGTACCTCTTCTCCCCACTCCACCACCACACGGCAGGTGTCATGCAAGATGATGACCAGAGATGTGGGACAGCCTGCGGCTCCAAAAGCAAGTTACCCCTAAACCTCGAGCACAAAGCCTCAGCAGCAGCTTCTACTACAGGGGAGGTAACTGACTCCTGGCAGATGGAAACCGTGTGTCCAACCTACTTCTGTGCAAGACACAGCTGTGAACTTGTCAGGACAAAAAGTAAGGCAGTGAACACACCAAAACAGACGTGGTTTCTATCAGGCCACGTAGTTTAGAGAAAAGAGGGTGGGAGGAGCAGACGGACTGAGAAAGATCAAGTCAGCTCGTGGCAGAAAACATAAGATGAGGGGAGGCCGGGGAGGAAAGCGGACTGTGGTCAGAAAGGCCACGGGGAGGGGACGTGGTGGTGGGTCGATCCACTCCGAGGCAGGCCAGAAGACCCGAAAGAACATGCCCGCCCAGGTGTGAGACCCTCCAGCCCAGCAGGCTCAACCCAGGGGTGGAGAGAAGGGCCACACCACATCACCAGGTCCTCCTCAGCTGACCCTCTCACCGCTCCAAGCCACTCAGCACCCTGAACCGTCCTAATCAGGTTTTTCTTCAAGAGCAGCCAGCAGAACTGAAATGCTATTCTCAGGGATCTCCGGAAATCTCAGTCCAGAAGATATCATCACTTGCCTGCAGATGTCTAAGGAAAGGCCTCTGCCTTCAAGCCCTGACAATAAAAATCTCGGGCTGAGGTGACACTGTGGGATACCAGACTTCCGATGACCAGACCTCGAGCTATTTATCTAACCTTTCCGTCTCAGCCTTCAAAGACAGGAAACAAAGAGCAGGAAATCACTTGGCCCTTGTTGGCTGGGCCTGCCGGAGAAGTACAGAAAAGAAAACCTCACAGACATCACACAGATTTGCCTCTGTGGACCTTGCTTCCCTTGAGCCGGGAATGGACGACAAAAGCTGAACTCAGAGATTCCTGACAAAAGCAAGCAACTCTGTCTCATGAACTTTCTAATTTACACTTTTTGACTGTTCAGCAATTTTGATCGGGGTGGACTTCATACAAAACTACCACCACCATAGGACTGTGGGTTTGTGGACACACCTGCTCAGCACTGTCCTTTCTCTTCCCCACCTTCTAGGGCCAAAGCAAACACACAGTCTTAATACTCGATTTGGAATACACGGCTCCAGTGTGACCCTGAACTCGGTAAGCTGTAAGAGGCCTCAGTTTCCCTGCCAAGGAGCTGCCCACCTACATGGGATCACATTGATCTTTCTTCTTTCAAAGTCAAGTTGGACTAATGTTCTAGGAAATGTTTTTTCAGTTGGAAGTTAACTGGTGAGAGGTGATGTAATGGGAAAGTTAAATTTTTATTTCAGAAACAATAACCTGACTTTTAATCTGTAACTCCCAAACCTATTTAGATTATATACCTCCAATGCTCACTCCAACCCAGAAAGCATACAGTAGGAAGGATGAAAGTTCACCCACGGTCATCTGGGCACTGCCCATCAGCAGCCCTCCTTTGTAGAGGACAGAAAGCACGATCAGGTTCCCGGAGAGCCCTGTCTGTCAAATGAAGAAAACAGAGATGTCAAGTGGGAACCAGAGACCTAAATTCTACAAGAATTAAAACGGCCTATAGTTTCCTTTTTGCATTTAACTATCACAACAAGATTTTTCCAAGGAGTAAGTTTTAATCTGAATTTCAAATAAAAAATATTTCTGAAATATTGCAGTGTTGAAGGAAACAATCTCATCAACATGAAAACCTAGAAGCTAGGACACCCATCTGACTCCTGTTTTACTCAATCTATTCAGTTTGCAAAGGAAAAACACCATGAAGAGCTCCCTCCATAAGGAGGAGACAAGTACACAGCTAATATGTGTGTTTACCTATTCTAATGTGACACCCCAAGCAAAGCTGCATAAGAGACAGAGTCCCATCTGTCTGATCTGCCTTGAACGTTGTTAGGTGTGTGGTCTCTGGTCAATGCTGCCTTATCTGGGCCTCTCCTTCCTCCGTGTCCCTAAATCGTGACCATTACTGCATCACACGAAGTTCTTCCCAATTTGAACACGCTATGGATTTCCCCTCACGGTGACTCTGGTTATCCCGCAGTGGGTCTCAAACTGCCTGCATCAAAATGACCCAGAGGCCTGTCTCAAACAGACTGCCGGCCCCCGCCCCGGAGCCTCTGGTTCCTAGGTCTGGAGGGAAGCTAAGAATCTGCATGTCCAGCCAGTTCCCAGGTGAAGCAGATGCAGGTGGCCTGGACCACACCGGGAAGCCTGATCCCCCACTGTCTGGGCCTCGTCATTCACTGCCTTTTGTTACATGTAGCGGTTTTCCTCTTCTTCCACAGAAACAGTTTATGAAGGCTCACACCTAGTCTTTAAGTGGAATAGAATTATTTTCTATCCATGACGAAGTCACAGAATAAAACCGTCTTTCAGTCATAACGTCCACCCTTCGCACTCTTTTCAAAATGATCTACTTACTGCTCCAAAGAAGAAAGCCCGAGCAAATGCTTCTTTCCTTGCTAACTGCATCACGTGGTCCATTTTGCTGGCGTATTTCTCTATTTCAATCATTTCTTTCCCAAAAGCTCGAACAGTTCTTATATTTCCAATACGTTCCTCAGCTAGCTGGGAAATTAATAAACACATTTCAAGGAGAGGAAAGTCACATTTCAAGATTTTTACAGGCAAGTTAAAGTAGGACTCTCATAGAAAGCTGTTTAGGATACATGACTAAGTCAAAAACAGGTTACGAAGCAGAGTATATGAGCAATCCCATTTTTGCAAACAAATATTTATCTATACATACCAATACCGTATATATGTAGTCAGACAAACAGGAGGGCTAACAGACACTGAAATATATTTTTATGCTGAGAAAAAAGATAAAAAGGATAGACTCTAAAATGTTAATAACATTCATTCTGAGAGACAGGGTTGTATGTGTTATTTTCCCTCTTTATATTTTCAGGTTTTCAGTTACAAGCACACACGGTGTTTGTAACATGAAAATATAAATTATTTTTAATTTTTAAAAAATACAATATTGGATACCATTGCAAGGCTTCACTTGTTAATTAGAAGGACAGAGTGTCATGCAGAAACTATTTTCAAAATATAATTAGCTTTTCCATCCTATAAAAACTGGTAAACGGTAAAGAACTAAGGAGTTCATACAGTGTTCAGTCATGTGGGATCCGCTCCAAAGTATGGGTGGTACTAGAGTTTAGAAGGCAGAGTATTTGACGTTTCTAGGATCTTGAGGGCTAACTGAAGAAAAGTAAGTAGGTTTCTGAAAATCCCAAGTACATCTCCGAGGGCGTGCCCCCTAGTCCCCCGCTCTGAGCTCCTTCTGGTAGAGACCACACAGGGGAGCAGCCTTTACCTGAGTGGCTTGTGCCAGGGAATCCTGCGTAAGTTTGGTTAGTTTCCGTAGATAACGTCCGTAAATCACAGCAAGGATGGATATTGGAGGCACCACACTCAAAACAAAAGTGGCCAGACCAGGTGAGACAAAAAACTGTCAAAAACAAAAGCCAAAGGTGTTCATTACAGAGTAGCAAGACATTCTCATTACCTACTATAAAAGTGTGAGTGTGTGTGTGTGTGTGTGTGTGTGTGTTTAAATTAATAGGCAGGTTTGAAGGTTGAAGGTGCTGTCTCAAAATTGTACATCCTGTTTGGGTGGAACTTTTCGGACATCTTCAATCTTCACAAAACTCCACAAAAATGCAGCATGCCACACAGGGGTAGGAAGGCAAAGCTGCTGAAGAAAGGACGGAAATATGTGACCCCGCAGTGCTGTACCACGGCCAATACAATGCTGTTGCACAGTAGACCACGATGTCCAACCACAGAGGAGGGGCAGGCAGGACAGGAGTCAAGGAGGGAGGCCCACGCTGCTCGGTGCTGACCAGGCCTCACCAGGAATTCTGTATTTGAGCTTGGATCCCCTCGAAGGGGGGATCACTCGAACGACCGAGTGACATGCCTCGCTGAAATGACCAAGACGGCAAAAACCCACATCGAAATGAGAGACGGAAGAGGACTCCCCGCAGGGATTACAGCTAACAAGTGCAAGGAGAGCTGGAGCTGTTTCCACGGCTCAGAGGAATGACGTCTCAGCAGGATGGATGTGGACTCCACAGAAGGAGTTTCTAACAGTTGGAGCTGCTCGGGGAGGAAGTAATCAACTTCCATAGAAATAACACAGTGGGTCCTATCAATCCTGCAATTTGGTGACTAGATTTTAAATGGCACTAGCATCTTTTCAACAAATTGTTAAAATCTGCCCAATCTCATTTGCATGGAAAATAGAATAATCAGCATAAGTCTTTGTTAAAAAGCTGAGGAAAGGGGGTGCCTGGGTAGCTCAGTCTTTAGCCGTCTGCTTTCGGCTCAGGTTATGATCCCAGGGTCCTGGGATCAATCCCTGCATCCGGCTCCCTGCTCAGCGGGGAGCCTACTTCTCTCTCTCCCACTCCCCCTGCTTGTGTTCCCTCTCTCGCTATGTCTCTCTCTGTCAAATTAATAAATAAATTTTAAAATCTTTAAAAAATAAAAAGCTGAGGAAAAGTTGCACACTGAAATGCCCAGTAACAGACAGACCAACCGATCATTCATTCATTTACTCGTTTGACAGCTCGTTAACCCAATGCCTACATGTAGCACACACCATTCCAGGCATCTGTTAGATAACTGACCCATGCAGAGTTTTATCCAAGGGGAGAGCCAGAGAGCTAATGGGTAAAAGAGGGACAGAGAGGACTATTTCAGGTGTAATAGGTTCTTGGACAAGCAAGTGCACAAAGGATTAGCTTGGCACCTTCAGCTTGTGGAATGACCACCCACCCTGGCCCCAAGCAAGCAAGTCATACAGTCCAGCAGGGCCCTGGGATGATGGCTGCCAGCAGGACACATGCAGGGGAATTGACGCGATCATGGCAGGCCTGATGGTTCTGGGGCCTGAAAAGGCAGCTCAAGAAAACCATCCACATGGGGTATCCTCTGTGGTGGGGCAGGAACTACACCAGAACCCCTGGGGGGACTGTCTCAGAACCACCGCCTCTCTGTGCTCTGGTTCCATGCTCGGTAGGAACTTTCTGAAGGTGCCTTGTCACCAAAAAGGGGTGTTCGAATAGCAGGAACACACATATTAATGCAGGAAGGAAGATCCCATAATGGAAACGATTCAACCTGCAGTATGGTAGAGACACTATTAGGTTCTTGTGAGCAGGCAGATCCTAAGTCATCTCCAGGGAGCTTGTGAGAAACGAAGAATCCCTTTGTTCCGTCAGGGCTACAGACCGGGTTCCTGGTGACGCCACCTCATGAGGCCCTGTATAGGCTGAATGTCTGTGTCCCCCCAAAATTCATATGCGGAAGCCTTGACCCCAGTGTGGTTGTATTTGGAGATGGGACCCCTAAGAAGGTAATTAAGGTGAAATGAGGTCAGAAGGGTGGGGCCTTTTTAGGATCAGTGTCCTTAAAAGAAGAGACCCCCAAGAAGCTATCCTCTCCACCCAAGAACTGAGGAAAGGCCACGTGAGCACATGTCAAGGGGGCAGCCACCTAACAAGCCACGAGAAGAGGCCTCACAATGAACCAGCCTTGCCAGTACCTTGACCTTGGACTCCAACCTCTAGAACTGTAAGAAATAAATCTGTCAGTTAAGCCCCAGCCCTGTGGTACTTTGTTAGGGCAGCCTGAGCAGACGGCTTCTGATTAGCCATCAGACTTACACTGAACCGTCTGAAACGGTTACAGAGGTTCCCGACTCTTCCCGAGCCCCAGAATTTTCGATATTTAGAAATGCTGCTTTAGTGCGGGACAGGTCTTCTTCCAGAGCTTGGCTTCTCTCTTGGCTGGGAAAACTCGGGATTGCAAAGCAGCTTTCCATTTCATCTGACCTTACCAGCTCAGTCTGCAACACTTCCCTCTGGTCTAGACTGAACGCTACGTGGAAGCAAAGGGGACAGAAGCCCATGCTATTCCACTTGGGAGATGGGATGAATTACAGTCTTCATTCTAGGGCTCTGGGACTACGCTGCTTAAAATGACAGCATCACAGGGCTACTGAGCACTTCCGATGGAGCTGGTGTGACTGAGAAACTGAATTCTTAAGTTTGCTTAGTTTTAATTAAAATTTAAACTTAAGGGGCGCCTGGGTGGCTCAGTGGGTTAAAGCCTCTGCCTTCAGCTCGGGTCATAATCCCAGGGTCCTGGGATCAAGCCCCAAATCGGGCTGTCTCCTCAGCAGGGAGCCTGCTTCCTCCTTTCTCTCTCTCTGCCTGCCTCTCTGCCTAGTTGTGATCTCTGTCAAATAAAGAAATAAAAATCTTTTTAAAATAAATAAATAAATAAAATTTTTATAAAAGGAATATTCTATTTCTGTTCAGTTACTGGTAAAGTTTTACGTACATCTGGAAAACCTGGTACATCAATCTACTCTTTCAATGGCAAATTCTATAAATCTAAATGCGATGAAGTATTTCCAATGCAAATTTGGTATCCGGATTGAGATGCTCCATAAGTATAAGAGACACAATGAATTTTCAAATCTTAACATGAAAAAAATAATGCTAAATATCAGATTAATAATTTTTATAGAAATTACATGTTGAACTGATACTTTGTTTATATTGGGTTAAGTAAAATGTATTATTGAAGTTTATCTCACCTCATCTTTCTTTTTGCTTTTTAAAATGTGGCCATTAGAAAATTTACAATTACCTGTGTGGCCTGCATGACATTTCTGCTGGCCAGCAGCACAGGTCTGAAGAGAAACACGGTTTTCAAGGAGGCAGACAGATAGGCAGTGCTCAAGCCACCCAGTTAAGGCAGGAAAGCGGTTGTGGGGGTACAGAGAGCTCACCTCAGGGCCATACAGATCTACTTCTGTGCACAGAAGGATGGAATTCATCCTCCTCCTTACATGAAGAGGAGAGGAAACGATCCCTTGGTCTTGTCAAGATAACACTGTCTTTTCTGGGGGCAGGGAGAGAATGTCCCTCACAATCTTCCCTCTAACCCACTGCCTGGCACCCAAAGGATTCCTTCCACCTGTTGCTTTTTTCTGCAACATTCTTTCACACATTTTTAAGAAAACGCAGGCAATCATGTAATCTCTTCTAAATGTAATGGTCCACTCTCAGATCAGGGCAGGCCTGGAGAAACGAAGGTTGCAGGGGGCCACACAGGAAGGCTGCCTCCACGTCCCTGCTGCCCTGTGCCAGCACTCTTGGCTAAGTGGCTCACAGGGTGATGAGAAAGCTCAACTTGAGCTCCCCTCATGACTGAGATGCCTGGCACAGGCCAAAGCCCTGACTAGAAGGTACCACATGGGCTGGGCCAACATACCATCATGCCAATGCCAACAGAAGCCTGGGCCCCCGCTCTGAGCCCATCTGAGAGGTTTTCGGTCACCGAACGCCCGAGGAGCATGGTGTCTGAGGAAAGGCGGTTAATCAATTCTCCGGTGCGAGTCTTGTCAAAGAAAGCAACCTCTTGCCGCAGAACAGAGGAGAATAAGGAGGTTCTCAACCTATTCACAATGCGCTGACCTGCAAAAGCAAACAGGAATGGCATCAGCTGGGGTGCAGCCCCCTCACAGGCAGCAGCCTGGCCCTGAGGTCCTATTCTGGGCACTGCAGCCTCTGAGGCATGTCTGGGGCCCTGCATCCCCCCAGTGGGAAGGGACTCGCCCGAGCCCTGGCATATAGGCAGGTGTGCACTGGTCACAAACACTGATTTCTCTCTTAGTAACCCCACACAGACTGTGGATGTCGAGGATAAAATACGGTATCTCTGAGAGATGTTTAAAAAGGAGTGTTCACCAATAAGCTGCACCACATTAACTTCGCCCACGCTAATTTTGCTCCTCGTTGGCAATCCTTTTCTCTACTGAACTTTCAAAGAGCGAGCATGGGTTAATTATTTGCAGAGTGCTTTATTAGCTAGATGATGAGAAGTGACTTAGAGTGGGGCATCCCGGGCTTTATGATTATGATGGAAGTCGCCCACCTGTTAGCAGCCAGGCCTCGTCATGGAAGTGCTGTAAAAACTCATCGCCCCCGTGCCTGCTGAAGGGGCAGCACAAACACGGAGCCGATGAGGTTTGCACAGGCCCTGAAGGAGGCGCAGAACCCCAGCCTCCTGACAAGCGGCCATATTTGCAAACCTCCCATAACACAGGCTACCTCCCTCATTTTGCTTCATGCACATGGGGAGTCGAGAAGAGAGTGCGTGACCTAAAACAACTCGTAGCTCCAACAACTGGCCGCACACGGGGCTCTGTCCCCACTGAAGGTGCTGGGAGGGAGAGAGGACCACACAGCTTGGGGCACAGGAAGCTCGAGCCCCGGTAACCCCACGTGACCACATTAGAGTCCTCTGGAATGCCTCGCTCATGCAGGATGAGAGCCTTTTTACCTGAAGTCTGCATGAGGTAGACACGAACAGCATTGGCAGCAGCACCACACAGGAACACGCCGCTGAGCACCAGGCAGAGGTGGGTCAGGTTATGACTGGAGTCCACAGTGGGGTTTGTGTAAATGACATCGATGATCTTCCCCAGGAAGAAGGGAGCGGACATGGTGATGACACTGGACATGGCCAGAAACCCAACTGCGGCTAGAAAAACACAAGCAGATCTCAGGTCCATGGGCGCTTCAGCAAGGAGCAGGGGGCCGACCTCACCACGCTTCTCTCCCAAAGCCGCTGTTCAGAGCACATGCTACTCTCGGGAGCTGGGAGTTTCCTTTCTTTTGCTCCTGGACCCTTGACTAAAGGCAAGAATCCAGCGGGCTCTAGGGATGAGACGGGCAGGGCAACTGTAGGGAGGGACGGATCATACCCAAGTACCCAGACAAAATGACTTTTGCTTTACCCAGGTCTGTCTGATCGTGTCTTCCTTGCCAGGAATAACCAAGAACTAACTATGAAAATCTGAAGATCCGTTCTGACCTCCCTCCCGGCCTCTTGATCTGGGTGTTCAGCTCAGGTGACATTTTTCCTGCATTCCTGCTATACTTTGTCATTCTCTGGCATCTAACTATGTCTTTGCTTGAAGATCAAACAATGCTGGTAAAGCTCTTGATTACGTATACTATTTCTAAAGGCTATACAAAGTTTTGAAATAGTACACTGTAACTGGCATCCATGACACACATGATATGATCCTTAATCTTATAGCTTTGGGGAGTAAACTCCAGAATACCAGCATGATATGAAAACAGATAATAACACAATTGTTCCCACATACAAAAAAAAAAAGGGAAATAGAGTCTTAACGGAAAGGAAAATATTGAGAAATCCAACCAGGAACAACACATACCCCAGGCAAGTAAGTGCATTCATGACAAGAGGAATGCAAATTTATCCTACAAAGATATACCAGTTTTCATCTATCGGATTGGCAAGGATGAAAGAATTTGATAACACACTGAGTTGGTGAAGCTGTGGGAAAAGAAGCATTTACACTGTTAGTGGGTGTGCGAAGTGCTCCAACTGCCATGGAGAATGATGTTGTCATTCTGGTTAAAATGTGAATGTACACTCCCTTTGACCCAGCAATCCCACCCCTAAGATTGTAACTTCTACACATACTCCCATGTGTGCACGCGAAACATGTACATTCGAGGATGTTCACTATAGCATTACTTATACCAGCAAAAGACTCAAGCATGCAAACAACTGCCAGTGGGGAACAAGTTAATTAATTAAGGAGCATTGATTTTAAGCATATTACACGGTCATTCAGAAGAACGAGGCAACTCTCCAGGTGTCGACATCACCGAGATATACCTGTTAGGGAAAACAGCCTAAGACACAAATGTTAACATTTGCTCGTTGGCTCTTAAGTTCATATACACACAGCACATCTCTGAGAGAGTAGTAAGAAACAGGTAACAGTAGTTCCTTCTTAAGACTGGGGTTGGGGCGGGCGCCTGGGTGGCTCAGTCATTAAGCCTCTGCCTTCGGCTCGGGTCATGATCCCTGGGTGCTGGGATCAAGCCCTGCATTGGGCTTCCTGCTCGGCCGGAAGCCTTTCTCCCTCTCCCACTCCTGCTGCTTGTGCTTCCTCTCTCTGTTTGTGTCTCTCTCTCTGTAAAATAAATTATTTTTTTTTCCTAAAGATTTTATTTATTTATTTGATAGAGAGAGAGATCACAAGTAGGCAGAGAGGCAGGCAAGGGGTGGGGGGCGTGAAGCAGGCTCCCCACTGAGCAGAGAGCCGGATGCAGGGCTTGATACCAGGACCTTGAGATAATGACCCAAGCCGAAGGCAGTGGCTTAACCCACTGAGCCACCCAGGTGCCCCTAAATAAATAAATCTTTTTTAAAAAGATAAAACAAAGACTGGGTTTGGGGGCACCTGGATGGCTCAGTCAGTTAAGCATCTGACTCTTGATTTCAGCTCAGGTCATGACCACAGGGTGGTGAGATCAAGCCCCACATCAGGATCTGCACTCAGAGGGGAGTCTACTTGTCCCTCTCTCCCTCTGCTTCTCCCCTGCTCCTTAAAATAAATAAATAAAATCTTTAAAAAAAGAAAAAGGTTGGGGTGTTTGGGGCAGGGTACATGCCAGTGCATCCCTTTTGAGTTTGGTCCTACCAGGAACTCAGCTAGTGCCACCACCACCAGATTCAATGGTGAGGCTCCTAGATGAATATGACGTGGACTGAGCCCTGGGAGATGGGAGCTCTCACACCCTGCAAACAGCCGTTGCTTCTCTTTGTGTTTTGCCTAATGCTAACACCAAAGTTAAAAATACTACTTTTATGTGACCTTAATAAAAAGAGTGTAGACTGTATTATTTATAATACTAAGATATGGAAGCAACACAAGTGTCCACCCACAGATGACTGGATGGTCTGGTGTACACACACACACACACACACACACACACACACTGGACTATTGGCTATAAAAAAGAAGGCAAGCTTGCCATTTGCTCTAAGATGGATGGACCTAGAGGGTATTTTGCTAAGTGAGATAAGTCAAAGAAAGACAAATACCATGTGATTTCACTTACATGTAGAATATAAAAAAACAAATGAATAAACAAAACATTTTAGACTCTTAAATACAAGAACTGAGAGTTGCCAGAAGGAAAGTGGGAGGGAGAAATTGAGAAAGTGATAAATTGAGAAAGATTAAGATCTTCTAAGTCACAGAGACCAAAGTTCAGCATAGGAGCATAGTGAATAATACATTACTAATGTTGTTTGTTGACAGATGGTGACTACCCTTATCACGGTGAGTGCGGAGTAACAGAATTAGTGAGTCAATATATTATACACCTGAAATTAATATAACATTGTACACCAACTATACTTCAAGTAAAAAATAGTTTTTATACTTAAAAAGAGTACAGAGCAAACTCAGTGTCAACAGTTTTAATTGGCAGAGCTCTAGGAGAAAGCAGAGTCTTTTAAGTAAGGAACATTTCACACTATCACTCTCTTCCTTCCTCAAGGCCTTCTGACATCTTCTGGAGAAGACCTACTCTGACAACCTTATTCAAAATAAAGTTACCCAGGGTGCCTGGGTGGCTTAGTCATTAAGTGGCTGCCTTCCGCTCAGGTCATGATCCCAGGATCCTGGGATCAAGCCCTGCAGGGGGCAGCAGGGAACTTACTTCTCCCTCTCCCTCTGCTGCTCCCCCTGCTTGTGTTCTCTCACCCTGTCAAATAAATAAATAAAATCTTTAAAAATAAAATAAAACACAGATACCCAAAATTGGCTGTCTCACTCCCTCTTCATTTTTCTCCTAGGCCACCCCCCCACCAACTCTGGCATTCTAAATGTTTCACTTATTTATTGTCTATCTCTCCATTTGGACATAAACGATTTTTAAGAATTTACTTTTAAGTAAACTCTACACCCATTGTAGGGCTGAAACTCACAATCCCAAGATCAAGAGTCACACGTTCTTCTGACTGAGCCAGCCAGGTGCCCCAGGACATGAAAGATTTTTGTCTGCTTTGTTCACTGCTGTATCCCCACCCGACATAGAGCAGAAGTTCAATAAATATTAAATGAATGAATGAACAAATAAATTGAACTTTGGCAAAGAAGGCACAAAAGTGTATCAGACCAAAGTTCCTCAGTTGCCTAAATAGGAACATTAAGATCTGGTGCCTCAGAAAATCCAGATGAAAATGACTCTGCAGAGAGCCAGAAAGTCCCTGTGTCTGTCTTAAAATCCCATAACCACAATTTAACTTAATAATATGAACCTGGCCGGGGGCCATTTCACTTTGCTATAAGACCTGGGGTCTTGTTTCAAAATGCCATGCTCCTAAGGACAGGGCCCAGAGGTACGCACAACGTCTAACCTGGGATTCCGCTTGACACAACTGTGGTGAACAGGCAGGCTCCAGGAGGAGGTGTCCTGGGGAATAAGGGATCGAGCTGAGAAGGCTTTCTGCTTCATCTTTCATCAGTCGCTACTCTCTCCAGTCTGTTCTTCCACTCTGGCAAATGCTTCCAAGAGTATAACGTATGTGAAGTGCTAGAAGGGTCCACTTCTCCCTCCCTCCCCCAGGGCTCTAATTCAAGGCTTTGATTCCAAATCAGAATCTGTAGTCTGTAAATGAAATGCCCTATGATTTTGATTCTGAACACTAGTTCTTACACAGTAATAATAATGATTCCAGAGAAAGTAATTTAGTTGAATCCAAACTCATTCCAGGATATCCCCTTTTGCCTTTTAATTTTTTAAAAATTATCCATTTATTTTATTGCCGTATGTGTCCTTTTCCTACACACTGAATGTAGACAAAAGTAAAAGACTTTTCTCGGCTTTTGTTTAGATGGATTCTTGTTAATGGAGGTTTTACTACATACCACTGTCTTAGACATTAATGAATGTCTAACTATCAATTCAGATCCCTCCCTAAACTGGACATACTGACTATACTACAACCCTTCTGAAATCCTTCTCCAACTTTTCTCTGTAGTTAAGCCTTTTCCTTGTTCCTATCCTTGTCTGATGGGACCCCAGCAACTGTCATGTATCTCTTGACAGATCTCTTCAGGTATCTTTCTGCTATCCTCATTTTCCTGAACCATGGCCTTCAAAAAGTAAAAGGAAAAACTCTTCAAAAGAAGGGGGAAAGAAACCCTAAAATGCAGAGTTAGCTCATGAAAAAACAGAGGCCTGGGATGCGTGGAAGAAGCTGTACAGCACGGCCAGCTCCTGCGAGACACAGTACCCATCATTTAACGAGTCATCTGACCATTAGGCAGGGTCCAGGACTATAGATGAAACATAGAAATGAGTCCCCGCCACTGTCTGAAGCATGTGGTAGGCACTATCTCCTTGAATCCTCCCCAAACCCCTTTAAGCCACATTATTTCCAAGGGAACTCAAGCACAGAGAGGTAAGGGAGCTTGTCCAAGGTGACCCAGTTCATGTAATGCAGAACCACACTGAGATAAAGCCTCCATCTCACCACATTCGAAGCAGAGAAAGGGGAACAAGCATGGGGGTTGGGGCAGGCCAGGAAGCAGAATGGCTGCGGGACAGAGTTGGGACAGGGACCTCATGGTACAAAGGAAGAAATACTGAGAAATGAAGTGGAGAGGTAGTGGGTTCTAGAGCACAGCATGGAATAGGGGATTT